GATTACTTCGTACACATATCCAGCGTAACCGCCGATCAAGTGAAGCTCGTCGGGGATGAATAGTTGCACCGTCTGAATGTTCTTACGTCGCTGCCACTGGCGAGACAACACGTCCCACTGAGTAGGAGTGGCAAGCACAAGGTCAGCCTGTTCGAGAAGCTTCAAATCGGCTGTGGTTTCGCCCGTAAGCTTGACAATGGTTTTGCCTCCATCCAGACCACCAAGGCGCTTCTGCCAATCAGCTAGTCGGTGGTCGACAAGCTCCTGGAAGGGCGCAATGTAAACTGCCCGGCCGCTATCCTGCTTTGACCAGTGACGAAGCAAGGCCAACTCAGCGCAAACAGTCTTTCCACTTCCCGTGGGAGCGCCAATGAAGATGTTCTCATCGGTGTCGAAGACTGACTTGAAGACCTGAGACTGGATCTTGTTGAAATGCTCCCAGTTGGGGTACAACGCTTGGTAGTCCTCACGCTTCAGTGCCTTGACGGGTGCGCGCTGCATGTCGAGCAAAGGTGTATGGGGAGGGAAGCGCTCGGGGAGAACTAGCTTCTGGAAGGATACGGCAATCTTCGTCTCAGAATGCATCCACCGGTCAGACACAAGCGAGATGAAGTAGTTGGGGGGCATCGGCTCAGAGACAGGAACAGTGAATTCGACAAGATGCTCATTCATTTCGGACTTGGCAAATTCACCACGGAGCAAGAAGCGATCGTGGAACAAAATCTCCTCTCCGTCACAGTCCTCAACCAAAATCCAGAAATCTTGAGCATTGCCATGCACTTCGTCATCCCAGACAAAGTTGGGGGTAATGGTCAACTCTACACGCAGCATGGATCGCGTGATGGGCTGCACTTGAGCTTGAACGTCGAGTCGAGGGAACTTAGACACCAGGTCGCACACAACACGTCCAGCCTTAGGCATGCTCAGAAGCTCACCCATGCGGGGAGGATCCAAATCGAAATAACTACCCCAAGGCACGTCAATGCGTTCCGCCTTCTGCAAAACATCCCTTGGGCAGTGGGGGAATTGGCGAAGGGGGGACATCGTTGGCCACATGCGCCTCTCAGCCATTTTGCAGAGATCGAGCGCAGTCTTGGCCACCGAGGACCATCCCTTCTTCAGGCAAATCTCGAAGATCGCGCGGATGATACGTCCAGCAGATTGAGTGACATAGACCATGTCTGCCATCAGCGCAAGCCCCTCAAGCTTGAGTCTGGAGATGTAAGCCTGCAAAAGAACATTGATCTTCGCGTGGGGCTCATCAATGGTTTCCTTAACAGGGACGGGAACACGGCCCAACAGTTTTCCAAGCTCGAGCTTCTCGTCCTGGCGGACGGGGATGTACTTGAACTCATCACTCAGGGCAAAGATTCGGAACAATTCGATGGTTGTAATGGAAGGTTGAAGGTGTTGGGAGTAGGTGAGCATGGAATTGTGACCAATGTAGTAGTGCGAAGAGATACGTCCAAGTTCAGTCGACTGCAGACGTCCAGTCTTCTTTTCATACTTGACAAGACCGGCCTTCTCGAGGACCGCTGCAGCGGAGTGAACAAGATCCACTCGCTTTTGCACCAGGGCGTCATCGTCCTGATAGTCGGCGCCAACACTGTACAGGCCAGGTGATCGGAGCATCCGAACGTAAAGGTAAGTGTAGCCTAGCCAATCCACACCCTCATCGCGAGTACGAACATTGCCAAGCACAATCTCAGCATTCAGATTGTCCGCTAATTTGCTCACCAGCTGGGACTCAATTGGAAGCTGTTGGTTTAAGAGCGAGAGATAGTATTGAATCTCAGCTTGGGATGTGATAATGATACCCTCACCGAAGGTATCGTATTGGGGTCGACCAGCTCGTCCTAACATTTGCAGAACATCTTGCGGGCTCAACTCAACCCAGGCGCCCTTCTCGGGAGAATAGACTTGGGTTCCCTTAATGATAACAGTGTGGGCGGGAAGGTTGACACCCCAGGCCAGTGTTGCTGTACAAACGAGGACCTGAAGGCTTCCATCGGCGAAAAGTGCCTGGACTGAATCACGATCGGCAAGACTCAGACCAGCATGGTGAATACCGAGACCGTACGGCATGAGATCCTTCAGATTGGCATCATCCACAGAATCTGCTTCTTCGGAAAGAATAGCACGACTAGCCGCGTCACTGCGCAGAATCTGACCAATTGTTTCATTCTCAAGGGCCTTGTCTCTGATGTACTTCGCGGTCTTGGCAGTCTCCTTTCGAGAGTGGACGAAGATAAGCATTTGGTTTCTGTGCTGTCCAACCTGCTCCATAACCTTGGTATAACAAATGTCGTTCATCGTCTTTAGCTGCTTGATGGCTTTCTTTTCGGTGACACCGATGAATTCCTGCTTGAGGGGACAAGGGCGGTAGCTGCCATCGAAATGGAACATGCCCTTGACGGGATCTGCGCGCAGGAAGCTTCCGACATCGCGGTAGTTTGGAAGGGTAGCACTGAGACCCACAATTCGCACAGGTTCTCCAGTCTGCTCGGTTCTGCGAATCGTTCGGCTGACGATGCTCTCAAGGACAGGGCCACGCTCATCGTGGAGAAGGTGAATCTCGTCGATGACAACAAGGCGAACAAGGTTGGTGTAGCTAGTCTCGGTTGCCTTTCTTGTGATAACGTCGTACTTCTCGGGAGTGGTGACGATGATCTGAGTATCGGCAATTTGCTGCTTGGTGAGCTGACGATCACCTGTAAGCTCGGACACTCGGATACCATAGGGCTCCAGGCGCTTGCCAAGGTTGCCAACTTGTTCTTGAACCAAAGCCTTCAAGGGAGAGATGTACACAATCTTGAAGTCATCCAACATTATCTCTCCCGTTTCAGGGTTGCGATTCTTCCCGATTTCTCGGAGGATCGTGAGCATAGCAACGTTGGTCTTGCCGGAACCTGTAGGAGCACAAACAAGCAAATTTCCATCGTCATGGAAAGCTGAAGGGTAGCACCTTGTCTGCACACGGTTGAGTTCCTTTGAGGTTCCAAATCCAACACGGGCCCATTCTGGCAGCTCAGTGGTCGGGATATTCTTTTCTCCAGCCTCCTTCTTGGCCTTGGGTGGCGGCACATGGATCTCTTCGTATCCCTTGAATGCTCGCTTAGTTGAGCCCTGGGGAAGCTTAACATTGGGGTTGGTCATAAGGTGATTGCCTTGATGGAAGACTAGATTTTCCAAGTTGATCGTTTTCTTGGGCTGGAGAATGCCACCCGGGGCACCTTCAGCGGGTTTTTCGTCGGTAGTTGGGCCTGAAGGAACGTCGACATCCATCAAGTCAAGCTTTATCTTCTTGTCTGCTGGTGCTCCGAGTTCGTCGCCAGCTTCTTTGCCACGGATTTCATCAAGGATGGCACGTTGACCGGCTTCGACCATCTCGAGCTCCACGAGATTGCGCGCATCGTCATCCTCTGCGACTCTTCTCCAGCGGGTAACCCAGACGGCCTTGTCGCGGTTGGTGACTAATTTAGCAACGAGATCGGGATGGTCATAGTCGAAGAGTTCCATGAGGTCGTTCTCAACATCGCGCAAGGGTTTTAATGTTCCATCCTGTTCCTTTCCACCGAGGATTTCAAGTGCCTCATCTGTTTTTTCGTGCTGGACGTGAGCATCTGTATATATGGCACCGATTTGACGTTGTAGCCAGTAGGCATCGATTTGGCGAGCGGAGACCTTCAATCCGGTCTTCTCTGCAGCTTTATCATCTCGGCCAAGACCTCCATCGATGACCATTTCATCGCCGTCTTCGCCTTGGGCTGCTGCAGCATTGTCGGTTGCAAGCCGTTCCGCTTCTTCTTCTTCCTCTTCGTCGCTGAGGTCATCCTCATCTCGAACTTCGTCCATGGTGCCCATGCGCTCATCGTCTTCATCTTCTTCATCGAAGACGACAGCAACACCTTGGCGTTCATCAAGTTCGCCGCTCTCTTCATCGAGGCCGCCTTCCATCTCTTCCTCTTCGTCCTGGGCATCGTAGTCTGTAATCTTTTTGCCCAGGTTCACGAGCTCGTTGAACTCTTTGGGGTTCATTGAGGTTCCTAGAAGATCATCAATCTCCTTCTTTTTATCGAAATCCTTCATATCTTCGTCCTTGAGTAGTTCCAGAACAGCATCGGCGGCACTTCGGACGACTTCGTGGGGGACATCGCCCAGCTGGCTCCCGGTGATTGTGAGAATAAGGTCATAGGTAGCTCGTGTGGCGGGTGTGCGGGGACGATATTTTAAGCCTTCGACGAAGGCATCGGCTGCTGAAAGGATGCCCTGGCCTCGTAGTTGTGCTGGTTGGCCGCGGTGGCGTTTTTTTTGTTCGCGTAAAAGCACATCTTCACCCTCACCGATTGCGCCCCGCTCGAGAGCTGTCAGAGCTGCCTTCTTAGATTTGGGCGCGTCGTCACGCGCGACTCGTCCACCCATCTCCCGGATCCCAATGCGACCCGCCAGAGACTCCGGGTCTCCAGTGGGTTCGTCATGGGTGCGACTGATAAAACGACGGTCCGCCTGGAGAACCAGGTTGGACATCGCCGAGTACTTGTACTGCGAAATATTTTGGTCCGCCATCTTAGTGGTTGTATGGCTAGATCAATGGGGGGAAATGATGATAGAAAGAGTGAGTTGCGACAAGAATCTGCGGAGAGTCGAGATTCAGGTCGCGCCGAGACACGAGATGTCGGCGAGTGATCGATTTTAAATGGCCTCACAAACCTGGCTCATCCTCCTGCCGCAAGTAAGGTCACTTGTAAAGGAGAAATATCACCCAAGGTTGTAGATAGATGAAGTCAAGGAGGGTGCAGCTCGGGAAGATTTCGGTGGCGAAGGCGGAAGGAGGGGAGCTTTGATGGTTCTGCCACCCCAAACGGTTGAGGGTTTGGAGCGCGTCGCAACAATGCGCCCTGGTCTGTCTATTTCTCATTTAATGCCAGTTTATATGAGGCCTCTAACGACTTTAATACGTTCATCTTATCGTTGCCACATACACCGGACTATATGTCACCATGCGCGTCGAACCTACATACATCCACGCGTGTCCACCGCCGCACCGAAAGCTTACATACGAGGCGCAAAAACTAAAGCGACAGTAAAGTTGAAAGACCTTCCCCAAGGAGTCTTGAAACTCGAGGCATACGATGACCGGGTGGATGAGGCTCCTCGTTACCCAACTGTGGTGCAGGGGCATCGAAACAATATGCAGACGTTCAAGAACTGTGTTGTCTTGACCCGAGTCGGGGGCTTCTATGAGGTACGGTAATAGGCACTACATGGCTAAAGAATCCCATGCTGAGATTGTATTCTGTAGCTTTATTTTGAACAAGCAGAGGAGCTGGCACCATTGCTCAATCTCAAGCTCGCGACCAAAAAGACCAACGGCGGGCCAGTCCCGATGGCTGGCTTCCCCTTTTTCCAGCTCGATCGTTTTCTCAAAACCCTCGTCGGAGATCTCAATAAGTATGTGGCTATCAGCGAAGAGTTCGCCATAAATGCAGAGGACAAGGCACGCACAGGAGGCCTCCTGTTTGATCGGAAGGTTGCTAGGATCATCACACCTGGCACGCTGATTGATGAGAAGTTCATTGATCCCTCCGAGCATAATTTTCTGTTGGCCATATACTTGGATGTCCCGTCTTTGCAATCGCAATTGAAGCAACACGTTGACAACGATCTCCAATCATCTCATCAGCATGTATTGTCTTCTGTGCCCCAACAAGTAGGATTATCATGGCTTGACCTCTCAACTGGTGATTTCTTCACTCAGCTTACAACGACTCAAATGCTTCCGTCTGCGATTGCTCGGATTGGAGCTCGTGAGATTCTGGTAGATCAGAATGTGCAAGATCTTATTGGGCATGAACTGCAAATGCTTGTTGGACACGACCATCGCCTTGTCACCTTCTTCCAATACCCCGGAGTATTCAAACCGGTATCTGAATGGGGGCCAATGTTAGAGTCTCCTGTTCCTGAAGATACTCGCGGCTCATTCACACCGGAGGAAGTAGCAGCTGGGTACAGCCTGCTCGAGTACACTCGCGTGCAGTTGCAAGGATCGAATATCAAGCTGCAGCCTCCAATTCGAAGACATTTGAATGAATCAATGAGCATTGATCGTAATAGTCTGAGTGGTCTTGAGATTATAGAAACAGCGAGAGACGGGTTTGGGAAAGGAAGTCTCCTGCACGCTGTGCGGAGGACTTCTACAAAAAGTGGCGCACGGCTTTTACGAGACCGACTCAGTATGCCCAACTAAAATTTACCTCTTTCTATGTGGCTTTTACTGATGCATTTATACGCAGCCTCCCCATCTACCTCCTTACAAGTCATCAATGAGCGTCTCGACCTTGTGTCGGTCTTCATAGAACACGTGGAGCTCCGTGACAGCATCATCCAACTTTTGAAGCGCAGTCATGATTCTCAGCGTCTGGTCCAGAAATTCGCTTTTGGAAAAGGAGACCCGGATGACTTAATTTGTCTTTCTCGCGCCATTGAGGCCTCTAAAGAAGTCAGACAAGTTCTTCTAGATCACAATAGACTTTTGGTCTCATCCAGCGCTTCAGATTTGAATCACAGTCTTGCTATTATGATCTCGCGGCTTTTTCTCGATGGTCCCATCGCGCTGGCGGATCAAATTCTTGCGGCCATTGATGAAGAAGGATTGTTACAAAAGCAACGCATCGAGGATAGTACCGCCGCAGAGGCAGCTAGTCTGGCTCAAAAGGTTACTATGGATGAAGCCACATCCAGCGAGCTTGTAGCACTGCCGAAAAAGATTAGAGCGAAGAAGGGCGAGCGAACAGTTGTGGCTGATACAGACTCCGGTCCCCTCGATACCTGGATTATGAGGCGTGATGCAAGTACGACTTTAAATGGACTCCATGCGGAACTTGAACGGTTGGGCGATGAAAAGACTTCGTTGACTCAACGTCTCCGTGATTCGGTTGATTCGTCAGCTCTCAGCCTTAAATGGACACCAGGGTTAGGCCACATCTGCCATGTTAAAGGGGCAAAGATATCCCAAAAATCCCTGGAAGACCTGGGGGTCACTCGAAATGTCTCATCGACCAAATCTACCCGGTCATTCTATCTACCAGCCTGGACAGAGCTGGGGGTCAAAATGGACCATGTGAAGATTCGGATCCGTCAAGAGGAGCAAACCATCTTTGAACGTCTACGTCGTGAGGTGATCCTGAACCTTGTCAAGATTCGCCGAAACGCAGCAGTCATGGATGAGTTGGATGTGGCGTGTTCATTTGCAACTCTCGCCCAGGAACAGCAAATGGTACGACCAATTCTCAACGACGGTACTTGTCATAAAATTGTCGGTGGAAGACATCCCACGGTCAAACTGGGCTTAGAGGAGCAAGGGCGGTCGTTCGTGAGCAACGATTGCTTCCTGGGCGATTCCGAGCGGATCTGGCTCATTACTGGCCCCAACATGGCAGGTAAAAGTACCTTTTTGCGACAAAACGCTTTAATCACAATCCTCGCGCAAGTCGGATCTTTCGTACCCGCAGCTTATGCCGAGATCGGTATCGTCGATCAGATCTTCAGTCGAATTGGTGCAGCGGATGACCTCTTCCGTGACCAGTCGACGTTCATGGTGGAGATGTTGGAAACAGCTACCATCCTCAAACAAGCCACGCCCAAGTCATTTGTGATTATGGATGAAGTGGGCCGAGGTACAACCCCCGAAGATGGCACAGCTGTTAGCTTTGCATGTCTGCATCATTTACACAACCACAACCAGTCTCGGGTGCTTTTTGCTACTCATTTCCATGCCCTTGCGGATATGACAGAGGACTTTGACAAACTGGCGAGATACTGCACGGATGTGAAAGACATGGCTTCGGGTGCCTTCTCTTTCGTCCACCGGCTGCGGAAAGGTGTCAATCGCCAGTCTCATGCTCTAAAGGTTGCTCAACTGGCTGGTTTGCCCAAAGAAACCCTTGAGCTGGCTACGCGGGTCCGCCAGAAAATGAGAGATGAAATTCCACCTCGAGTTGCTGATGAAGACCAACCCTCGCCTCGGCGTACTTGAAGGTGAAATGCCATTTGTTAATATGTATTTGAAGAGTACTATGTATAATATTTATGTACAATATTTCGGCTTCTCCTGTTAAAGATACCACAAATCACAAAGCAAGGTTTGCAGATTCCTTGCTTTTTTTTTTTTTCAGCCAACTGTCGAGTCTTCGGTTTCAGCCTAAGAACCCAACCCTTTGCAAGTTTTTTCATAAACATCCGTCTACGGATCAGAGCTTAGCCGACCACAACCTCGGGCCCTTCTCAACCCGGCCAAGTTGACCCTTCCGACCAAGATCAACAACAACACCCTCCCCAAACGCAGCCTCCTGACAATCCTCATCCCCAACCCCATTAACAAACTGCACAACCACAAAATCGACCCTGCGACGACCCAAAACTACCATAGGCGCATGCCACGTCCCAACACCATAAGTAACAGCCTGACCGCCACGCGCAACAAAGGCCTTCACATTATTCAGATCAGGCGGGTCCCGAATAGTAATCGTCTCCCCGGCCTCATTTTTCGCGGTAGCCGTGCTCCCCTTCAAAGTGGGCGCAACCACAACCAAAAACAGCGGCTCTTCTTCACCGTCCCCGACCTTGGAATGAGCCGATAGATCGACCGGAATGAAAGTCTGATTCGTAAACGGGTGGCGTTCAAGGATACGCACATCAAAGACCTCCTTGTCGGGCAGCTGAGGGCCAGTGCTGACAGTGCGCAAATTGCGCGGAAAGCAGCAGAACATGGTCATTCGTGCCTCGGAGGGCTGGCCGCTTGGACAGACATTGGTGTAGCGGTCGAGGAGCGGGGAGATGGGACTATACTTGAGAGCAGAGTTTTGGTTCGCCAGGACCGGGGTTGGGTCGTGTGGCGGCAGGGATGATAGTTGTGGGGCGATATTTAGTTGTCGCGGTAATGGGGATACTACCGCTACGCCGAATTGTGCAAAGTTCTCCAGTGTAAGAGGCTCTGGAGTGAGCGTGACTGTCGGGTTGGTTGAGAGGATCGGCGCCATAGTGAGCTTTTAGGTGTAGGTTGTGTGGATGAATGTGTTGTCTAGTAGTCCGCCACTTTCCAGCGTGCAGGTCTACAGCTCTATGAGAGGGAGAGAAAAGAAAGACAAGCGAAATTGGATTGGATGTTGGTTAAAGCTAATGCGGAGATGTCCCGAGGTCGGCGCGCTCCGGTGATAAGATAAGCGGCAAGGGCCGGGGAAGTATAAGATTTTATTTATTTTATTCATTTTCATTTTTATAGAGACCGTTACTCGTGGAATAATATTCTAGGTTACCTGTATTACTCTTTCGGTTCTTTTAGTACTCATCTCAACCAGGTGGCAAGCTCTCCAGGATGTGTTGTCGCTTAGCTCTGCGTCCAAGCGCGATGAAATACGCCAATTCCTGACGAAATTAAAATTGGCCCCTGCACAAAACCGGGATGTGTTCCAAAGTTGAATCCTAGAGAATAGTCTTGTACTGAAGTCCGTGCTGAGAAAGTCCTGGGGCAATAATGTGATTGATACCCAGAGACATAACCTTGGAATACATAGATGGGATGTATACATGCGGGGAATCGGTTTCATATATCTATACATTTAGCCATAAGGATTGATTTTGATTGGCTTTTAGATATACAAAGGTGAAGCATAAATTGGGTTGGATGTACAATGTACTCTGCAGCCCTGGACTTGACCGGCTAGCACGGGTAGATCTAAAAGATCCAAAACAATCTAAAAAGCAAGATCTTTGCATATATGGTTCGCATGGTAACAAGGCAACCGCATTTCGCACTGATTTGACAAGTTGGCCGTGTTTACTGCGGGAATGAGGCTCTAGGGACTACAAAAAATAATATACTGGCCCGATACCATCTGCAATACTCGACGCTGGCCAATGAGTCACGTATTCGATCCCTCCTTAATGACACGCGCGCAATGACGGCGGCAATAGCTATTGGTCTATTAGGTCCGTTGCTCCGGAGCCGATACCTAATCCAGTGATCGCAATATAGAATTGCATGAAGTTCGCACACCGGTGTTTGAGGATGTAGCATTTGATTCTTGATGTCTTAATGTGATGGGGATTCTCAGATATAAAGCAACTATAATCTCCTCTTCTTTGAGAGTTCACGTCTCCCTTCTGATATTCCAACCAGCCCACTCGTGCTTAAACCCTGCTTGGAATACTGCAAGCACATCCCAAGTGCCAAAAGTACAATTCCCCTGCGCAAACTATATCAAACACAATGGATTCTTCAAATCAATCTTCCCCCCAGCAAACCACTACCAATACGGACACTTCGAATGCTGCCGTTGCAAGCTCCTCCACTCCAAAAACCTCTGACAATACGTACACAGAGCCAAAAGTGAGGTAAGCCCAATATTTACTATCTGCCTCTTCCCATGAGAATAATCAGCTAACAAGAGACAACTCAAAATAGTGACGACGAACAATTCCAACGAAACACTGATCACATGGGCGGTTGGATCAAATCATCCGACCTCAACCACTCAGAGACCCTCGCTGTCTAGAGGCTGAATAGACAACGGAGTCCATTCAGCGTTGACTCCATGACCACATCAACCATACGGATATTTGAAGGGTCAGTGAATTATTCGGAAACATTGCGCTAGTCAGATGCATTAGTTTGTCGATGAGCTCATGCATCCCAAAGTCCGAGCACGCCCGAGACAGTATTGTTCTGCCTATGACACCTATATGAAGGAATGACGCACTAATGCATTGTATACTTGGCGTTGGGGACCCTTGCGGTCTAAGAGAGAACTATGCGTGGACTTGATTTTCGATTTTCTATTTCCCTTGTCTCTGATTTGAAGAGAAACATGTGATGGAGGGGCAGAGTGACCGGGGGGTAGCCATTCGTGCATGATATGCCAGGAAAATGGATGGCAACATTCCCGAAGATCCGACGCCATGTCAAAAAGGATTTGTTTTAGCCGACGTGTACTGTGTACTTTCCCCTCTTTTTCTTATCTCGGACATTTAGCTTTATTTTATATTAATCCTCTTGGTGCGGGTCACCTACTTAGATTGGAATTGAATTGTTTTAGATGTAACATCAAGTCGCATCTTTAATGCAAACGTGCCCAAACTAGGGGGATACGCAAGGGATTTTAGCATATCATCAGATATGACACTGCTCGTTGGCTTTTCACTCATGAGATCAATTTGGTAGGGCTGAGGCCCTAGCACGTATGAAGCTGTATCTCCGCGGTCACTTTACGTGTAAAGTATCATTTATATCCAATTTGTCGTAAACACGCATCTCGAAGAGATTGGATCATAATTTCCATGACTTCATGAGGCTCAAATGTGATATATTTACGGGCTCTTTGATACAAACCTGCAGGGCAATGCTCAACGGCAATTCATCATAGGGTCCAAAGGTTAATTAATGTGGAGAGACAATACATGGAGACGACAGAAGTTGATGGGTTGGCACGATCAATAGATGAAACTGTTGGCTGTAGGTATCCGAGAAGTAACAAAAAGATGTATTTATCTCTCTACTAGGTATTTCGTACCTGTAGTTGTAGTGGCAGTTTAGGGGGAAAGGCATAAATGGAGTAAACACAGGTCCATCCTGCTAGAGAGGAACGTGACCCGCCATCTGCCTCAAATTCTTCTGCGAGACGACTCGTAATTCATAAGGTGGGGACTTGATATATTCATGGATATACTAGAGACGCCTACTAATCCCTCTCTAGTGGAACCCTGAAAATGGGAGGTTTATATTGTTCAAATCGTGCAAACCTATAGAATACAAGACCTCTTGATAATCCCTAGCCAGGAAACACAATAAGATGGATTATCCTTGATGATCTATAAATATGTGTTTCCTACATATGAATGTAATGAGGATGAGACGGTGGTGGCTGGTGTTGTGGGCAGTTGAGTGGCTAGTAGTCCCCAGCCTCTAGCTAGTTGGTACAGCCACAAACCCTCTTCTGATTCCCAAGTAACCCCCAGAGTAGAAGATCGAAAAAGGTAGACTTAGTGCTTGGTGTTTCGCACTAACTCCAAAGGGTCTCTTTTTGTTTTCACACGGTCCCTTGTTGCATTGTTATCGTTTCTGTCAGTCCGATAATATCGTATTTGAATTCGCCAATCTGTTCAGGAAGTGAGAAAAATGTGGGAGAAGTTTGAGAGGAAGGAGGAACGCTGAATGAGGCAAGAGATACTAAACAAGAAAGGAGCCAAACGTGGAGAGTGTCAGGTCTCGTGCTTCCATCGCTTGTAATCACAATCTAGATAGTCAAACCAATCACATCCCATCTATCATCTGCTCTTTCTAAATGAAACGTGGAGGTGCCAGAGAAAAAGATATAAGAAACCGTAAACCAGAGCACCTGGAGAGATTACCTTCAATTGGTTAGTGTGAAGAGAGATATTTTGATTCCATATAATACACTGTAAAAGGCGTAGCATCGATATCTCGATGATGAGTTGTTTCAAAATCTCGCGTACTTGCCGGTGTATATATGAGGGAGATGAGTGGATACATATTATATTTGTAACTCATCTGTCTTCTCTGTATATAATATAAAGGATTGAGTGTTGTCTTCACATTATTCCTCTCAGATAGAGACAATGACAGGTGTAACAGTTGAAGCTACATTGAAGAAAAGCGGCTGGCTATGTATGAGCTTGAACAAAGAAGCTATTTATGTAGAGGGTAACCCCTCTGTAGATTTCTATGTATGATGCTCATTCTTTATTTGATTTTCGAAACTCTGGCATATTCTTGCTTTCGGATGTTCGGCCTCTCTTGCTTCTGATATATCTTTTCTCGAAATCTGATTTTCTCCTGATATAAGGATATGAAGTCTTGTATCGTCCAAATATCGGGCTGTATATCAAGGAAATAGATACATGATCTGTACGGCATATTATAGCTGCATGCTAGACATGGTGTTTTTTTTTGCATCTATCATTCCCCAGAGACCTAAATCCGAATTTCATTTCTCCTTCTTGCTCTTCTCTTCGTTCTCACTTCCGAACTTACCGCCAAATTCAATAAACGCAAAGAATCACTGCGTGGCACCAATTTCAAATGTCCACATCTGTGGCTTCGAACAAATACCAGAACACTAGGCTGATATTTCCTGCTGTGATGGCGACCGACCTCCTACATCTGCCGCATCAAGTTGATCCAGATGGAGATATAATCCTCTTCACACCAAAAGCCCCCTTGATTAACATCGAGAAATGCACTGTCCCAAGAAATTATGCTCACTTCCAAGTCTCATCAAAGCACCTCGCACTTGCGTCAGCGTATTTCAAACGGATGCTGAAAGACTGTTGGGCTGAAGGGAATGCTCTTTCAACAAATGGGTCCGCTGAGATCCCTGTCAACAACTTCAAACCAGATATCCTTCTGCTCATTTTGAATCTTATCCATGGACGTTTACGACAAATACCTCTCAAGTTGTCCCTGCCGCAATTGAGTGATATTGCCATCGTCGCCGACTTTTTCCAATGCCACGAGATCGTCTAGGTGTTTGCTGGTAGCTGGATAAAAGCTCTCGAATCGCGTGTTCCGTCTTCTTTTTCTCAAGACATGAAAACGTGGATAATAATCTCATCTGTCTTCAAGTCCCCTAAGATCTTCGAAAAGACAACAAAAAAATGCCATGCAGCAAGCAACAGGGCCATTCGAGACAAGCAATCTCCCGATTCCAAAATCCGTGAAAGATGTGTGAGGGAAATAGAACGTTCGATTGATTTTGAGATCTATCTGAACAATCACTAATCATGTACTTCCAGACGCAATCGATCAAGCCAGACAGGAATGTATCAAAATTCGAATTGATGATCAAAAACCACATCTTCAAGCTGTTCAAAGGTCCAATTTATTGTTCTCACGATTGTGATGCAAGCAACTGGGCCTCTTGCTCAGTAAAATGATGAGAATGAAGATGTCCTACTCGCTCGACGCAGCCTGCTCATCTGAGTCTGGTCATGTTCCGTCGATCCCCGTCGATCTCCGAGGGTTCAGTGCTGCCTTCGTCTACTCTATGATCACGGAATGGAATACGGATATTCCTTGCCTTCCCGCAAAAAGATGTGCCAACAAATCATATCCTTTTGGGTGTGATAGAAACTGGCGAGCAGAACGAATTTATCGCTCGCTGAAGAGGCTGAATGAGCGTACGCTTATCTAATAGCTCAATCACAAACAGGGTGCGTTGTGAATCCACTCCCATGTATTCGCAAACACTAGAATCACTAGATTGGACTGTTAGTAGGAATCAAAATACTCAAAAGCTCGCTTGTTATCGGTCTCTATATACAGCTTCCACCTACAAATCTGTTCATCAAACGCAGTTCAATGTCAACATTATATTGCCAAGTGTGAGTCTTTACAGGCTAGCACGGCTTCATTGTGAGTGAAAATCATTCTATAAGCCCAAACTCCATGCCATACCCGTCAGTGGAGGTTAGAACCGAGGGTTGTCTACATATGTATAGACTCAACTAGCAAACAACTCAAAAGTATGTGTATTGATCACCTGGTAGGAGATACTGAAATCCATCCACATCTGCCCATTCTAGCTATGCTATACTTGGAAAATCTGAACGAGTCCCGGGAGCTACTAGTAATTGCACCATTTTGATGATTGTATTTCACGTTTGAAAGTGAACAGCAATCAATATACCGGCTCAACAATACTCTTCAAGAGACGACAGAATATATCTGGGCAACATATCGTTCTGCTCTTCGGCAGCGCGTACATCACCATGGTGTATTGGGTAGCGATTGGAGTCACAGCGGTTGCTCAAAAGAGCCTCGATTGAAACACAAGGGGAATGTTTCGACCAGTTTGGCCCACAACTTATGACACTCGCTGATAGAAAAGCCAGAGAATATCAATATCCCTGACTTCTGCCGGTAGCAGAGGAATGGACTCCCTCAGTAACGAAAATTTAAAGACGTCGTAGCAAGTTTAAATCAAGTAGCATTGTCTGCTTTTGCGTCAAATCGTGCTTTTTTGGCTCGTCGTTTGATTTCTCGCTTGGACAAAGGCTTGTCAGCGTCCTCGGCAACAGGCTCGGAACTGATAGAAGCCTTCCTCTTGAGATTTTCCGCTCCATTTTCTGGCTGCGCGGGTTCTTTGACCTTCAGGACGTTCTTTTGCTTTGGTACAGGTCCTTCGGGTTTCGCTTTCTCGCCACCGTGGACGATATCCACGATGCCTCGCCAACTGGTTCGCTTCAACTTGGCCAACGCGGTGACCTTCCGCGACTCTTCGCAGACTGCTTCCTTTCCGCGTTCTTGTGATAGACCCCAGACACAAGCAAGATTAATCACGTCCCACGGGGCGCGTAGACTCAAAGCTCTTCTTGCTTCACTGGACACGATGATGCCTCGACCGCGTGTCGCGCGGATCAAGGAAGTTGCATTCCCAATGAGGTTTCGTCGAGCATCAAGTCCGCTCCCCGTGATCCCTGGGCCATAGCAGATCTCGATACGGACTCCACGTGAGATTGCCGCGGACAGCATTTTGAATTTGAAGTGGTATGGAAGTCGCACCGAGAGATCCACGGAGATCACGTCGCATTCCAAGTTGGTGCACGCATTTAAAAGTGACTTTTCATTTGTGGGACGGAGAGCAACGATGTCGTACGCTTGACTCAGGGCGGTTAGGCGCTGGTTCTGCGCGGGATCGGCCAGAGTCAGGTTCAACCGGGTCAGCAGTTGGAGGGATTTCGGCGCGTTTGTTGGTAGCGGAGGTGGAGCTAGGGTTGGTGGAAGCTTCCCGTTGATCGTTTGAGACAGAGCAACCGTAGTGTAACCAACTAAAAAGTCAGGTCAGTCCCTCATGTGCTCTTAACTGCGGATCGTGTGCCGCGGAGCGGAATGAATGACTTACGTTCGGCGAGGAAATTGAGAGTGTGGGGCACCTCCGGGTCATCGGGGCTGTAAGGTACGTTCAGGTCGTAAAACATGGTGGATTTAAAAGAAGGCCAGCCCTGCCCGTAGGAGTTATTGCTTTGACTTCTCGAGGCTCTTGGTCACATTGAACTGTCCCAAAAAGGCAATCAGAAAATCGAGCGGATTAACAAAGGATCCGTCAATAGCACTAACTACTTTGGGTTGGGTCCCCACAAACCTCTCGGATCCCGTGATCTCAGGCGGAACGGATCTCATTCTACTGATCATATCAACGACAATATCTCACACTGTCCATCCCATTGCTCAAGGCTTCTTGTGAGCACTGTGTTTGGGCTGATTAGTCGCTGGGACTGTGCTACCTGTCTCCTACGTCAAGCTAACCCCCGGCCCCTCGCTCCATCACACGGCCGCGCCCCTCGTGACCCCGCCGCACATCTTTCAATTGTGGGCGCACTCGGAAACCGCCTGTTATCGTCAAGATGGCGCGTGTCTATGCCGATGTTAACGAGCATATGCCTCGGTCCTACTGGGATTATGACAGTGTCAATATCTCTTGGGGTGTCCTTGAAAATTATGAAATCGTTCGCAAGATAGGTGAGAAATGATCAAATCTTGTCCCTCTGCAACATGTCAGAGATGGTTACCGCAAGCTATGAGCTGCGGGTGAAATTGAAGAATAAACTTTCTAACTATATTCACTTCAGGTCGGGGAAAGTACTCGGAGGTTTTCGAAGGCATCAACGTCGTCAACTACCAGAAATGCGTTATCAAGGTTCTCAAGCCTGTCAAGAAGAAGAAGATCAAGCGTGAGATCAAGATTCTGCAGAATCTCGCGGGTGGACCCAATGTTGTGGCTTTGCTGGATGTTGTTCGCGACAACCAGAGCAAGACTCCCAGTCTGGTCTTCGAGGCTATCAACAACACCGATTTCCGCACTCTGTACCCCCGCTTTTCCGATTACGATGTTCGTTTCTACGTTTTCGAGCTGCTCAAGGCTCTGGACTTCTGCCACAGCAAGGGTATCATGCACCGGGATGTCAAGCCCCACAATGTCATGATTGATCATGAGAAGCGCAAGGTTCGTGAGCTTAGTAGTTGTTGCAGGAAATCTTCATTCTAACATATTATAGCTTCGTCTGATCGATTGGGGTCTGGCTGAGTTCTACCACAAGGGCACGGAATACAACGTCCGCGTTGCATCGCGTTATTTCAAGGGCCCCGAGCTGCTAGTTGATTTCCAGGAATACGACTATTCTTTGGATATGTGGTCCCTGGGCGCTATGTTCGCATCCATGATCTTCCGTAAGGAACCTTTCTTCCACGGAGGCAGCAACACCGACCAGTTAGTCAAGATCGCCAAGGTCCTTGGTACTGAGGAGCTCTTTGAGTACTTGGACAAGTATGACATTGAACTGGACCCGCAATACGACGACATTCTCTCCCGTTTCCCCCGGAAGCCGTGGCACTCGTTCGTCAACGCAGAGAACCAGCGTTTCATCAGTGACGAGGCTATTGATTTCCTTGACAAGCTTCTGCGCTACGACCATGCTGTAAGTTGTTCCAACATCTCTACAAGTTGACCATACTGACTTATCTTCAAAGGACCGTTTGACTGCACAGGAGGCCATGGCACACGCATACTTTGACCCTGTGCGTGCCGATGCAGCGGCCCTTAGCCACAACAATGTGACCCTGCCATGAATTCCTCTCGCATGAACTGTCCATGACCATGGCTCTGATCTCCTTACTGTGATGCCCGGTTTCCAAGTTCTCCGCATGCTGCCATCAAGATTGCGTCGGGCATCACGACAATACCTTTTGCATTTGAAATTTGCCGATATGAACGGTACAACGATGATCGAAACATGAAACGAGCTTGGTCTTCGTACTCCCTGTTCCTCTCTTTCACTGGCCCTTCGAATTATGGGCTGCGGCAAACAATCAAATCCTGAATGAAGACGACTTTGATGACAAGACATCATGACATTTAATTTGCTGGGTCTCTCCAACCCTCTTATCGCCTAGGTCGTTTGGCGTGTCAAAGAGCATGATAAACCAACGTCTTAGATGGGGGAATCACTCTTCTCTTTCATCTTTTCCTATTTGTATAGCGCTGGTCGTGGGTTTCCCTAATTGATTTCTCCCCTGTTAGTTGAATTGGTGTTTTGGCCTTTCTGCTGGGTGCTTCGTGTTTCAAGGGATTTTCCTAAGATAACCCATTGCATTTTCTTAACGCTTTCCTTTTATGAATGAAACATTGGACGAGATTGAAAAAAAAAAATTTCAAAAAATCAAAAACCCTTAGAATTGATATAGTATATCTATCGTGCGTCGGATTGTTCTGTATACGATGAGTACACAGGTATGTCTCAACCCATGCATACTCCGTATAATGATCTTATATACCTAAATTTTGGATCAGACCAGAAAATGGATATCAAATGTAAATAATATCTAATTCTGTCAATAATACAAAACTTCCAATATTGTTATAGATGCCTCAGATCACCCGTTGGCTCCAGCGTATCACGTGAGGGTTATCGCAATGTCTGTCTGGCCAAATAAATTAAAAGACGAATTACAAGCAAGGAACGCGCGAAAAAAAAAGAAACATAAGATACTCCATGATACTCGATGAGCGTTGTCTGCACATAAACGCGCTTCATTGACCTGCCCGCCGACTCCACCGAACCTCCCACCGAGCCCCGCGCTCTCATTCGTTGAACTTCGTGGGAAATTTAATTGCCCGCATTTCGCACAACCACCCCTCCTTGTACTTCTCCATCTCTCTCAAGATACTTATCCGGCGATTCGTGGCGCGAGCGGCGCCTTGGAGATTTACTCCTCAATATCGTTCATTCTCCAGGATGGCTCAGAACTCTGCCCAAACCCCCAGTGAGTTTCATGACTCATTCCCAGATGTCGCAGAAGCTTATAGTGAATAGCGGGTGAGCCTACGGCTCCAGTGACCAGCACACCCCCTCAGGTCAACGAACATACACCCTCTCAGATCGTCGATGCCGCCGCAAAGGACCCCCAGGGTCAGAACCAGGGCGAAGCGGCCGGAGCTCCCAAGGTGAAGACCGAGAAGGAGTGTATGTTGCCACCAAAATCTATATCCGAACCTTTCCTCGGAAATTGTTGCTATATAATAAGCATGTGCTGATACTGTGGGTGATTTCTAGTGGAGAAGGAGCGCAAGAAGGCCGAAAAGAACAAGAAGTTCGAAGAGAAGAAGGCGGCCAAGGCCAAGGCTGCCGCCAGCAAGGCCGCAGCTCCCAAGGTCGAGAAGAAGGCGAAACCCGAGAAAGATAAGACCGTCGATGCCTACGATCCCATTGCCATCGAGGCCGGTCGTCTCGACTGGTGGGAGGAGCGTGATCTCTTCAAGCCCGAGTTCGGACCTGATGGCAAGGTTAAGCCGGAAGGCTCCTTCGTTATCCCCATTCCCCCTCCCAATGTTACCGGTTCTCTTCACATGGGCCACGCCCTTACCAATGCTCTCCAGGACACCATGATCCGCTGGCAAAGAATGAAGGGCAAGACTACCCTGTGGCTTCCTGGAATGGACCACGCCGGTATCTCAACCCAGAGCGTTGTCGAGAAGATGTTGTGGAAGAAGGAGAAGAAGACCCGCCACGACATTGGCCGAGAGGCTATGGTCAACTTGATTTGGGACTGGAAGGATGAATACCACAAGAACATCAAGAACGCCCTGCGCAGACTTGGTGGTTCATTCGACTGGAGCCGTGAGGCCTTCACCATGGACCCCAACCTTTCAGCTGCTGTGGCCGAGACCTTTGTTCGCCTCCACGAGGAAGGTATTATCTACCGTGCCAACCGCCTGGTCAACTGGTGTGTGGCTCTGAACACCTCTTTGTCCAACCTCGAGGTCGAGAACAAGGAGATCGAGGGCCGCACGCTTCTCGATGTGCCTGGCTACGAAAAGAAGGTCGAGTTCGGTGTCCTGACTCACTTCTGCTACGAGATTGATGGAACCACCGAGCGCATCGAAATTGCTACCACCCGTCCCGAGACCATGGTTGGTGATACTGGTATTGCCGTCCACCCCGACGACAAGCGCTACCAGCACCTGATCGGCAAGAACGCCCGCCATCCGTTCTTGGACCGTCTTCTCCCTATTGTTGCTGACCCCGAAGTCGAGCCCGAATTCGGTACCGGTGCCGTCAAGATCACCCCTGCCCACGATTTCAACGATTTCAACCGTGGTAAGGCCCACAACCTGGAGTTCATTTCTGTCATGAACGATGATGGTACCTTCAACAAGCACGCTGGTCCCTTTGCTGGCATGAAGCGCTTCGATGCCCGTTACAAGGTCATTGAGGATCTCAAGGAGAAGGGTCTGTACGTCAAGTGGGAGCATAACCCCATGAAGGTGCCTCGTTGCTCCAAGTCCAACGATGTCATTGAGCCTATCATGAAGCCGCAATGGTGGATGAAGATGGAAAGCCTGGTTCAGCCTGCCATCGATGCCGTTGAGAACGGCGATATCATTATCCGCCCCGAGTCCGCCGAGAAGAGCTACTTCCGCTGGATGCGCAACCTCAACGATTGGTGTTTGTCCCGTCAGCTCTGGTGGGGACACCAGGCTCCTGCTTACTTCGTCAAGATTGAAGGTGAGGATGGCGATGACAGTGACGGCAACCTCTGGGTCACTGGCCGCACCGAGGAAGATGCTCACAAGAAGGCCGAGGAGAAGTTCCCCGGCAAGAAGTTCTCTCTTGTCCGTGATCCCGATGTTCTCGACACTTGGTTCTCTTCTGGCCTGTGGCCCTTCTCTACTCTGGGCTGGCCCACTAAGACTCACGACTTCGAGAACCTGTACCCCACCTCCGTTCTGGAGACCGGATGGGATATTCTCTTCTTCTGGGTTGCCCGTATGATCATGTTGGGCATCAAGATGACTGGCCAGATTCCTTTCCGTGAGGTCTACTGTCACTCCTTGATCAGAGATTCTGATGGCCGTAAGATGTCCAAGTCCCTGGGCAACGTCATCGATCCTCTGGATGTCATGGAGGGTATTCAGCTGCAGGCTCTTCACGACAAGCTGCAGTTGGGCAACATCGCCGATAAGGAGATTGCCGCTGCTACCAGATATCAGAAGAAGGCTTTCCCCAAGGGTATTCCCGAGTGTGGTGCCGACGCTCTCCGCTTTGCTCTGGTCTCATACACCACTGGTGGTAGGTTTCATCCCATGTCCCCGTTTGATTCCATTTATTAACAATGATTTGCAGGTGGTGATATTGCTTTCGATATCCAGGTTATCCATGGATACCGTAAGTTCTGTAACAAGATTTACCAGGCCACCAAGTTCGTCCTCGGCAAGCTGGGCGATGACTTCAAGCCCCAGGCCGGTGTTAAGAAGACTGGCAACGAGTCTCTCTCCGAGCGCTGGATTCTGCACAAGTTCAACATCGCCGCCAAGGAGATGAACGAGGTTCTTGAGCAGCGTGAGTTCTCCAGCTCCGCCCAGATCTCCTACCAGTACTGGTATGCCCAGCTGTGTGATGTGTTCCTTGAGAACTCCAAGACCCTGTTGGCCGATGAGGCCTCAGCCGAGACCAAGGAGTCTGCCAAGCAGACCCTCTACACAGCCCTAGAGGGTGCCCTGACCCTGATCCACCCCATCATGCCGTTCGTCACCGAGCACCTGTGGCAGCGTCTGCCCCGCCGTGCGGGCGATGAGACCATCTCGATCATGAAGGCCAAGTACCCCGAGTATCTCGCCGAGTTCGACGACCCGGCCGCCGCCAAGGCCTACGAGCTCATCCTCAACACCTCCAAGGCCATCCGCTCTATCCTGTCCCAGTACGACGTCAAGACTCAGGGCGACATCATCATCCAGACCTACGACGCTACCAGCGAAAGTACTATCTCCGGAGAGATGAGCACCATCAAGTCTCTTGGTGGTAAGACCCTCGGCGAGCTGTCCCACCTTGGCCCGGAGAACAAGAACCCTCCCTCCGGCTGTGTTGTGGCTGCTGTCGGTTCCGAGGCTGCTGTCTACCTCCGCGTCTCCAAGGAAGTTGCCCTGCAGCAGGAGGAGAAGGCTCAGGCTAGCCTCGACAAGGCCCGTGAGACTGCCCGCAGATCCCAGGCTATCATCAACGGCCCTGGCTGGAAGGAGAAGGTCAAGGCCGAGGTCCGTGAGCAGGAGGAGAAGCGTCTGCGTGATGCTGAGGGCGAGGCTGCCCGTCTCGAGGAGCAGGTTAAGGAGTTTGAGAAGCTGCGCTTGGAGTAAATTGTCCATTATGGATATATTTAAACAAAATACATCAATTGATTCCCTTGTTTTAAACTGATTTTCACTGTAAACTCGTCACTAGGCAGATACATGTATATTTTCTCGACGATATAAATGCCATAGTAGTGTCGATGGATATATATAACTGCGACTGGAAATACCAGTACATGCACATCGTTTTGGGGGGGGGGGAATGTTGTCCCTGGATACCTGAATCTGCTAATAGTTCATCTGTACATAGGTGAGGCAAAAAGGAAAAAAGAACTTCGACCAACTTTCCATAATTGATACAAAAGACAAAAAAGGAAGTATCTTCGCTGACAATTAATTTTAGCAAAGGTACAAAAAAATAGTTTCCCTGGGAATCGAACCCAGAACCTTTCCGGAACATATGCTAGTCGCATTTGTTAACGGAAAATCATAACCGCTAGACCAGGAAACTGTTCGACCACTTGGGCCAATTGATGTGAGGAGTTGGTATTATTGACACTATGAGCCTACAGCCAAAGTAGGAATTCTTCTGCTCTACATAAATTCCCATGGCCTTCGGGCCATCACCTTTTGCCCCACTCTACCTTGCCCACTTGCATACCATATGCCGTTCAATAGTATAGTCGCCCAAAATTATAAAATTAATATAAAAATGTGACGCCACTTACCCGGGTGATTGAGATTGCCAATATTGGGAATATTTAGAAGATTGGGTATCAACAAGGATACATGTATGTACTGTGTTGGACTAATCAAACAATACCTCTAACCACCTCTGCCTAGGGCACTAGGCAATTGAAATATACATGCATGAACTGGCCATCAAGATAAAAAAGATCAAGGCTCTCGGGCCGCAATTTCTAATACACTGCAAGGCTGACGTGCATATAGCGTGGTTGTATTGGGGGATGTATAAACGAATAACTTCATCGCTTCTTCACCGACTCATATGTCGACCCTTGTTCTTCTACACACCACCAAGCACAAATTAGGCCTGGAAAATTTCATCTCTATACCGACTTTTCTTTGCTGAGAATGGGCAGCAACAGAGCCACTGTGCCGAGGGCTATGTTGACAACATGGGGTGAAGAAGTTGGCTATAAATACCAGGCTCATTCTCGTGTATCTCCCACTGTGATCAGAGACCGACAAGCCCTATCTTTGAATTAGTCAACTGAACTTCATCTTGTTTGATACTCTCACAAAAAAGAAAAGAAAGTCCCACGCGATGGCACCCAACACAACATTCACGGTCCCGGAAAATGAGTCAATGACCTCCTTATTTATCCAACAATATAGGACTCAGGACATAGTCTATTATCGCAAGAACCTCAGCGCAGTCGTGGAAATATGCAAGCAGGTCCTTTCCAACCATGGAATACCCCATGCCACAGAGTCCCGGCTCAAGGAGGCGGCCAGTCTTGAAAACAAACTTGCGAAATTCGAACGCGAGCGTGGATTTCCTTACCAAACCATGGAAGATATCAGCAATGATATTGTTGATCTTGCTGGAATGTGCATCTTGGTGCATATCCCGTCAAACCGAATAAAAGCCAGCGAGCTTTTGCACGACGCCTTCGTGGTCAAAAAGGTGGTGAATCACCCAAAAAATGATGAACCCAAGGAAACCTCTCAGAGCTCTCAAGGCTATGTCTCGACACATACACATGTCTTGCTGAAAACGGAGGACCTCCATGACCGAGGGTTACAATCCACCGATGCGAAACTGGTCGAAATCCAAGTCATAAGCACAGAACTGCGTGGATGGACAAACTTAGAACATGACTCGGTGTACAAGCCCAGGGGAAAACTCACTCTTGCCATACGCCACAAACTGGAAACAATGCGGAGGATTGTGGACGTGAATGAGAACATCCACCAGCAAATAGAAGAAGAGCAAGCACACAGAGCAGCAAAGGAGAACCGATCTCTTCGATCTGTCGATGATGTCGGCTTTATTCTTCAAAAATGGCTTGAGGAGCATCACTCGGCATGGTTTCAAGGTCGAACAGCCGGGTCGTGCACATCGCTTTTCAATTTCCTGAAATCTCGCAAGATGGACACTCGCGGGGAGCTGCGAAGGCTGCTTGGAGCGAATCTTGGATCTGATTCAGAAGCTATGTACTCGAGGCTTGCGAGTGAATATCCAGCTGGCAGGTTGACTCTTGTTATTTTCATCATGGATCGTCTGTTATTGACGGATGATGGAAGTGACGTGGCGGGTTTTGTTACCGGTGACGACCATCAAATCCATCTTTACAAACTCCAGGCAATGATGAGCACGTTTGTTTGGCTGGATAGGCTTTTTACCCCTCCTCTTGAGTGGCAGCTAGTCTTCGCAGCTCAGAACCAGGAATCTCTTCGATACGGTCTCGCCTTGCTTAACAGCGTTCGAATGAATCTTTTCTTGGATGGGAATCTGCCCGGGGACGACGAGATCGCTATTATTGATCACCTTTGGGACTGGTTTGAGCGTCAAGATGACCGGAAGATCAGATTGGCTTTTGCCATTTCCAAGAATGGGTTGTTTAGAGACAGGAAGGATGCGCGGGAGGTAATTCCGCAGTTGATTCATGGGATGGGATCTTTGAATTGATTGGATGGAAGGAAATTCGGGAATAAAAGTTTTGCTTTTGATTTTTTTTTGCAAGGGTCTAGCTGGTGATAGTGCGTTTGGGAGTGAATCAGATATAAAATTTATTGATAGAGATTTCACAAAACAGGGCTAGCCTGAGCAGTATGTACTCCATGCTTCGCACTCCGAACAGCGCTTCACATAAAAGTAAATCGGAGGCTCTTGTTATTTCGATGGAAAGTGAATCAAGACTCAGAACCCGGACCCCTTTAAGCGTATCACGTTTGGCGTGGGAAACTGACGAGAAAAACAGACATATCACATTCATTTCCGCGCTAGGTTTCCTATAATCAGCCTTTGAGTCATCCAAAATCACAACCAATCGCGTCAAGGTATTTTCCGACGTGGAAAGGTGACACCCCTGAAAAGGGGCTAGAAATTCAGCCGTTAACAATATGAAACGTTGAACGGAATCTATCCCCGATTGAACAGTCGGGTATTATGAGAGGAATAGATGGTGTTATGTTGATGCACATCTCAGCTGTCAGGCACTGGGGAGGTCGTAAACTTGTATCGGAACGATCCTGGGTTGTAGACTGGGATATGATTTGGGGGACTCATTTCCTTGGAATGAGGTGGTCAGGCCCGTCGAGGCTATACAGAAGATACCAGCCCCCTTACCCTAGTCGAATTATCAAGCGCTCCACAATAGGCGCCAATATTGATAGCAACAGACGCCGCAAATCCTTAAAAATCGCTGAGCCCTCTGAGGCTCACAAATGTGGTTAGGAGATTTTCTGAGCCCACAACCCCCTGGCTCCTTTTTCTTTCATCGGGAAAAAGGGATAATCTGCGCCCAAACCCAAAGTTGAGACCAGTGACGGGAACAATCTCTTTTTCAGAGGCAACAATGCAAGGTACCGAGGCCTCATGGGCATTGAGAACTTGGGAGTATCTTGCTGACTTGGGCGTTTTAAAAGGAAGCGAGAACACAGCCAAGGAATGGTTCACAATCAATGGTGTTTTGGCAGGGGATGATCTAGGCCAATTTGTTTCCCCTTTGCAAGTGAAAGTCTGGACACAAATGAGTATTTTCGCAGAGAGGGAGGGATTCTTTGGCTTTTCCAATACAGATCGTGTTTTGCAGTGCTGGCTTCATTATGGAGCCAGTCTCAAAGGGTGGAACAGTGGCCTTGACGACGTTCTTTGGGAACGGTTCGCAACAGCATTGCCCCTAGAAAACAAAAGTCTAGGTGAGTTTGTCGAGCCATATACGATGAGATATGAAAGGACTACCAGACCGGTTGTCAATGTGTCAAGCTAGGCTGTATGTGAAAGGCCACTAACCGCTGTCAGACTGTTAGACCATTCCGCGAATCCGTCCCGGGTCTCACCGGTTGCCGTCGGAGCAAGCCCCTTGCCCTTGGGTGGTAATAAACATCCTCAATTGCAACTCGTTGATGCGACTTCGACTTGACCCCGGAAGTTGTTAAACTTGGACAACCACCCGATAGTCGCGGAGGGACATGTCTCCACAGAAGTCGTGTGCCCAAAGCAACATTTAGAGTAGTGAGATGGGTGTACGCCTTATTTCAAGTACTGCATGTTGTGCACCGTCATGTTTGTATCAAGTTTGAAAAACACCACGAGGGAAGAGTCGAAAAAAAGAAGTTAGGAGGAAATGGGACAGGGCAAGGGTTTAAGTCTTTGAGGAATCTGATAATGCATATGCAGTGGCCCTGGAGCGCGCTGTCCGCTAAAATTAGATCAATATATCACCCGAATGTAACATTCTCGGAGATCCCCGATTTGGACTATTTCGTTATTTGAAATTAAGTACACTATTGTAAATTAATAGTGGAACAAAGAAACCTCCGGAACCTATACGCTGCTCATTAGCCCCTATATTATCCCGTTGCCGAACTGTGATTTGTTTATTGTGGTTGTAACAAAAATCACTAACTCATTATAGATCTATAGACCTATCGCGATACCCTAAAATTAAATACTTTAGATGTCGAGACAGATGCCAAGATTCCTCGTCAGGCTTCCACTAGTTAACTAGCCTCGGTTTAAAGAGAACACAGAACATTCTTCTCGCTATACATTGGAAAGTCATCTAATAATTGTACTTTTCACTGCTATTCTATATTTTGCGGCTATTCATTTCTGATCATTTCAGCACCTTACATCCATCATGGTATACTATGCTGAACTCGAGGGTTTCAGTACGATATACTCGGCTCATTCGAACTCTCACTGGAACAGCAACTGTCCATGACTGACCTTGATATCCATTATTCTAACCGTCTCCATTATTCTAACCGTCTTTCTGAGAGCACGTTTCCTAAAAAGAAACACCCAGACATCCGTGTGCATGCTCACATTGCCCTGATTACCCCCCAAAGAACTTGATGCTTCGAAAAATGACTCACACCCCTTGTATGCCGGTAATGCCACGCAAGATAATTATTTCATGTCTTCCTATGGTACGATCAAAGGCAAAGCTGGAGTCTAGTTAACTTGTGGAGAGAATGCCATGGGGCCAAATGACTCGCTCTTTTGTTTTAAAAAAGCACGCTAAGAGATAATCAAGGTGTCTTAATATAGCCAACCAATTTATGAGTAACATCCACAGTATAAAGAGAGCTAGCTCCATCTTCACATTCCATGGGTCCGACGCGGTAACATAGCGAATGAGTCAGTCGTTTTCGATAACCCGAACCGCGATCCCTGGTGTTCGAAGTGGTCCTAGAGTTCATGCAGGTGAGACTGGTGGAGATCTGGGCATCGTTGGCCGGAAATCCACTGAAAGTGTCCTGAGCCCCTGGTCTACGTATGAGCTTCTCATTCTCTGTGGCTTTAAGTGGATTCTTCTATCCTTTTTCCTGCCAGAAACTAATACCGATTTCATTCTCTTGAACCGGGCCAACCGCCTACGCATATCCATCAGGAATCAGAATCTTCGATCGGATACAGAGATTAAACAAGGAAATCTTCACTTCCCGTCGCTTCTCGGTGGGTATTTGACTACGCATTTCTTGATTACCCTAAGGGATCCGTCGGTTGCCTTTATTAATGTCTACACCGGTCTTATCTACGGTATTTTTGTAAGTCTCGGAACAGCATGAGGATTGGTTGCAGGAGAGTGGACTAACAAATAGCGCTTAGTACTCATACTTTGAATCATTCTCGATTTTGTTTACACCCAGATTCACGGGACCTCCTACTGAAAACCACTAATCGCTCCTGGTAATAATCTGCTAATAGTTACTAGTAAGCAACACTCACCTGACAATCTGATAGCCTGACGACCCCCCAATTCGAATAAGGCTCCCTTGCTCACTATTCGATATCATATACTTGTTTACTCCGCTCGTTTCTAGTTTAGCCACTGATTGTTTTTCCGGAGCCAAGTGGAACAGCCCCACGTCGGCCCGGTTCCGTTCACGGCCCGGACGATCATTCACACTTGTTATATAAGCTATCTCCGTGGACATGAAGGCTCGAAGAGAAAGCAGTTATTCGTAGCAGGTCATCTACTCGTACTTTATTTCAATCATTGACACTAAATTCCCATTCACTGCACAGATGACGTGCTCCGGCCGCTTTGCAGGACAACTCATACTTGCATTTCCCCACTTCTCCTCTATCCCCTATATTAGATGTAGCCAGGCTTTCTCTCGCCTTTATCTTTCATATATTTCTTGGAAAATCTCCTGGGGGTTATTTGATAGTCGACAACGTTAAAGACTGAAACATGGCAAAAAAGAAAACGAAGCAGCGCAAGTCCAATGGGGTGCTAGGGCGATCTCTCACCCCAGAGATCTCTCCCAAAATTGACTATCATCGACCTCTGTCATCGTGAGTTTTTTTTGACTGAGTTACAATCAACGTTTTCTGACTGATTCATTGGCCTTACGAATTCCCTCTTGTTACCCTCATTATAGGGAGGAAGCAGTATGGCATTCCCGCTCATTTCCTTCGGGATTACCAAAAGTTCGACCTTCTATTTTTGGGATTATCAAGCATCTCCATGTTTAATGTCGACGAAGACATTGGGCATACTGTGGTACACTTCTTATACACAGGCGGCTACGAGACGGTCAACTCGCCTCTTAAAGAAGGTATATCAGATCTCGCCAGAGAGTATAAGAGAAGCGTTTTAGTCTACCATGCGTCAAGAACTTGGGGCCTTAGTGATCTTGAAGTCCTTGCTCAACAAAAGATGCAGCACTTAGATGAGGAGCTTCCTGTTCTTGAAATACTGCGGGTCACGAGGGATGTGTTTTCAAGCCTCCCCGCAGGTGAAACTTGGCTTCCAGGTTATATTGAAGGAAACCTGCAGCGATTACTAAAGCCTGATAATCCAGAGCTTGATTTACCGGGATTTTACGATATTATCGGCCAAGACCATCAGTTTGATAATGCGGTGATGAAAATGGTTATCGAGATACTATCTATTCGCATATTTTCTATGAATTATCAGTACAGTAAGTCACCTCTAACAAACTAACGTTACAGTTCAGGCTGAGCCAATTTTTTGCTGCATAATTAGTGAAGATACTGAACGGCATCATTCCAAATGAATCTCCTCTTCCAGAGCCTACCCCAGAAGATCCTGAGCCGACCCCGGAATATCCTGAGCCTATCACCGAATATCCCGAGCCTACCCCTGAAGAGCCTGAGCCTGTCCCCGAAGAGCCTGAGCCTACCCCGGAAGAGCCTGAGCCTACCCCGGAAGATCCTGATCAGGGCCACATAGCGAGGGTTTCATGCTCGGACTTGAGTCTGTATACAGATTGGAAAGGTCTGTCTTCAAAGACAAGAACTAAAAGGGTTAGCAGGCTTAAGTCTAAAGGACTTCCTATTCCAAGCAACACCGGTTTCCTTTCAGTAGTTACAACTTGAGAGTAATTTGAAGCAGCTTCAGATCCTAGGCGTTGATGATGACACCCAACGCCGGGATCAACTACATGCTCTTATTAATAACTTACTTGATGCTCACTATGCCACACTAGGTAGTTACGTGCTGTTATATTAGTAATCTGGCTAGATAGTTATATTACTTAGCTGATACTAAGTCCGCAGATCAACCTTAATGGGTAACTGTTTAGCATTATCAATAGGGTGGGCCAATGCATAAATAATAGAAGGGAAAACTAACCCAAGCCGGTCTGCGGATGCATAGAAGAGATTGTTGGTATATAGGCTATTGTAAAGACAGACGGTGGGCAACATGGAAGAAAGCTAGAATATAAGAGATCAAATTGGAACATAAAACATAAAAGAAAGCATCAAGATGGAATCATCCTAAAGGCTTCTGGTCTACTCCATAAGAGCATGCTTGATGATCTCGCTTAGATTTCCTGCCGACTCTCCATCCATAAGGGAGAGATTATGACACCACCAACCCTTACAAAACGCAAACAGCGTCTCCCATTCACAGGGTCCGTTGAATTGTCGAGTCACGGTCAAAATTTTGGATCCCTCTGGATCATCGCCGCAATGCTCCAAATTGTTATCCGCATGAGAATCAATTGGGTCCTAAGCCCAAATGACATGTGTGGTTGCTGCCAAATGCTCCAGTTCTGACTCGAATGGAGAAGCGTGATAATTGTGGAGACTATTGATACAGGCCTCGAAACGTGGAATCAATCATGGAGGTGGATGGAGCCTTGCGCTCGTCGATCCCGGAATGAACGACCCCGAGAAGACCAATTTTCTCGCAATACTCGGAGTATCGCTTGGGAAGTTGATTCAAGTCATGTGGAGTAGAACAATCTAGTGAGACGAGGTCCGAGACGTCCTCACCCTCCCAGCTAGCAGCTGAGCACAGTAGTAGGTAGAAATGCCACCGACTGACCACCGACCAAAATCACAGGAACGAAATAGTTGACGATACCAGATCTGTCTGATGTAGAGCCTAGCGACAGGGTCGACGCCAATTAATTACGATGATGATTGCTAGATGTGTGGCAGTAGAAGCGACCGACAATTGGCAGGGATGTACGAACCAATAGTAGGAAGAAATGCATATTAGGAATGTAGTTTAGAACCGGAAAGAATTTAAGACGGCCACCCAAGTCTTTTATTATTACTAAATGGGTGTTCTAATGAGTAGGTGCATTTGAGCCAGAATTAGAAGTACATAAACGGAGCCCAAAATATGGAATTATCCAACACTGCGACATCCAACAACCTTAACGAACGGGCAAAATCCCCCATATCGTCACACTTTCCACGCTAGATAACCTAAGCGTCGATGGCAGTGCACTGTGAATGAGAGCATTAGCATGCGTAACAGAGTCGAATGTGGGGGAAAGTGTGTGTATCTTACGTCCTTGCCAGATGGGCAGCAAGCAATAGTGTTCTTGCAGGTGGTTCCCTCCTGACCCTCCTGAGTGAAGCCTACAAGTATATTAGTATATTATCAACATGATAACCTAGAAAGATCGGAGCATACCGAGAAGGTTGAGGTTCTTGATCAAGCTCTGGGATGCACAGGCGGAATCGCCAACACCGAGCAGGTTGTTGAGAGCTCCCTCGGCGAGGAGGTTACCCAGAACGCCATCGGCTTTGATGTCCTTCTTGGGGTTGCAGCAAGCGATCTCACCGGCCTGGCAGTAACCGCTGGCCTTGGAGAGAGCAAGGCCCTTACCGCCGCTGGGTGAAGGCATAGCCATGGCCGAGACGGCGAGAGTGACAAGGGTAGCGAAGGTGAACTGCATTGTGAGAGTTGAGGTGGTGGAAATGGGAGAGATTGTTCGTAGAGTGTTAAGGTTGATAGGAGGATGGTAGATGCAGTGGGATCAGGTTCTCTGAATACCCTTTTATATTCTTAGACCGGCTTCAGGTGGTAGCTTGTTGGCTTGGTTAAGCATCCACAGATCCCCTGATGGTCTCGGAATGCCACGTAATCCAATTCTGCAATCAAGGTTAACATTCCAGGGGGTCCATCATTGTCGCACCTGGATGACACCTACATTCTTCCGGTTCAGGTATTACCAAAATAGCGGGTGGGCCAGTGGGATCAGAAGGGGTTTATCTCAAGTTTTCATGGCACCAGGGTATATCTAATTCTTCAAGTAGAGAACCGGTTGATGTTTGAGGGAGGTGAAGCCTCCCGCTCTCTGAGCTTCTCTCTCTGGCTTAGTGAATGTCCCACGTTATACTGCACTTCGTTGAAAGGTTAGTCCTCGATACCCTAGATTCCCCGTTGGATGATCATTTGATATACCTGGATGATCATTTGATATACCTGGATGATCTTTCGAGTTGGATACTCCTTCGGGTGGATACCCTTTGGAGACCTTTGGGGCCCGTTTGAGACAGCCCCACTTTGATCATCGAAACCTTCCGAATTCGATGCAAAACCAATTAAGCAGGGGTTCAACCACAGGGATTTCACAGGCATGAGTATGGGGAATCAAGCACGGGGATTTAAGTACAGGGATTTAAGCACAGGGATTTAAGCATGGGCAAGTATGGGGATTCAGGCATGGGAATTTGATTTAAGCATAAGGATTTAAGCATGAAGCTAACTCGACGCAATTATCCGAAGTAACCTTGCCTCGTTCTCTTACGACCCTACGATTTTTGAACCCTTGGTTTGGCCCATTGAAGTAACCTTGATTTATGAATACGACAGAAATGGCGCGGAACAAAGAAGGGGCAAAACTTCTTGGCAGAAATATGATAGGACAATCTATGATACTTTCACGGATATGTAACTCCCTAACTAATATAATATGACGAAAACAGATTTCAATGGACAAACTAACTACTCAATATATGCACTTGTGAAGTTTTGTGGAGTTTTGTGGAGTTTCGTGGATTTCTGGCTCACTCGCTGATATTCCGAGTAAAGTACCCTGTATCTCAAGACCCTTAGGACAGCGCTCAATAGCTACCCGAGAGTGCGAATATGACTATAAACATCTTCCTGGGATAATATGACTTGGCCAAACCAGAAGGTAAAAATGGCGAGAATTTGCACCCTGAAGGTTGATAGATTGAATCTATGTTGTTGGAAACGTGTAACCCTGAGATGAACTAGGAATAATTAAGGCTAAAGGAGATATGAAATACGACATCCCGAGATGTTGAAAGGAGTGTCTTGATAGGCAAATGGCTAATATAGCTCGGTGTCTAAGCTGTCGAGGCAGCAACCCATAGTTAACGCCCTAAAGTATTTCCGGCACGAGCTGGACAATCTAGAGCACATCAAGCGCGATAGATTACAACTTGATATCTCAACAACCACAATTTTATTTTATTTCATTGTGGGCGGATATCTGCTGGTATTACTTCTCGGCACTGTATACTGAGTCTAGGGAAATCCAAAGACTGCCTTGTATGTCGAAAATTACGTTGCTGTAAACGAGAGATATATGTCTCTTAGTCGATCAAGTCATGGGGTATCTCTAACCTTTTTTCAGGCGCTAGATATTACTTGGCGGTTGCTAAAATAGATACATCATAGTTGGTTGCCATTACCTCTACTATGTTATTTCGCACTGCGCAGCTCACTTGGGAAATACATTCGTAGATGCGATATACTCTACATATATTCTAATGTGTCTGTGATAACACTTTCTAGCTATATATATTAATGTCAGGGAAATCTAAAGGCTATATTGTTGCAGTATCAAAAATTATATCGCTTTAAGAGTTAGGAATATATATATCTTAATCACTTTGTTGGATAAATTTTTTCAATTCCCTAGAAAACTATCCCAAGTGCATTAAGCTACAAGGCGAAGCCTTTATCGACTACCATTCTTAGGATATTATTTTACAATTTATCGCATTTACTATGTGTTGAGAACTACGTATTCGGTAAGCGGGTGGTCCATGTAAGCCAGTGGTCCACCCCGAAACATATAGTAAATGCGATATTTGCTACACTTCTATCTCAACAACCAACGTCTTTGTTTTATTTAATTACTTGCCGATAGTTACCGATAAGCATTCTTAGTAGTATATATCAATTTCGAATAAATCGAAAACTTGCATTATTGCGGTATCGAAAATTAGACGGCAAACACTCTAGAGTATATATAAACCTCACTTACAAGTTTACTAAATTTCTTTAAACTCCCTAGAGTGTAGAGATAGCATATAAAAGCATTCAGCTACCAGGAAAAGCCCACACAGACCATCGTTGTTTGAGATATCAAATTGTAATTTATCGCATTTATTATGTGTTTTGGACCCGCTTACCGAATACGTTCGTTGTTGTGTGTTTGCCTGAGGCCTGAAACTTCCCCGCCAAGACGTACTTCTACTTCTCTGCGACATACCCTCTCTCTTCCATAGTCATTTATCAGACATATTTTCTCCGAGCTTTGCCATCAAGTATCAAGTGAAATAGTTAGATGACTATTATGATATTCCCTTGCTTAGTCTGGGCTGTGATAGCATTCCTTTTCCAAATTTGCGATAAACCCCCCCCCCCCCCCCCCTATCTGGGAAATACCTAAATCGAAGAATGTAGGTAAAACCAAGGCATGATAATAATCGATCGGCGTTGGCATGCTACCTGGGTAGCTTGGATTGCAGAACTGAAATTTCGTGGCATTCCTAGCTCAGGGGTGGTTTCCCCCTCGGGAGCTAGGGGTGTTCAACCACACCAACCCTAGGAGTATGAAGCCTGAATATAAAAGGGTACCCAGAGGGCCTGATATCGATTATTATTCCACATCGCATCATTCTATCAATCATCACTTTCAAGAACACCTTTCTTAACAGTTCCCTCCCTTTTTCACAATGAAGTTCACCATCGCCACCCTTGTCACTCTCGCCGTCTCGGCCGTCGCTATGCCTTCATCCAACGGCGGCGGAAAGTCTAAGCAGATCTCACTCTCCCAGGCCAGCGGACTTTGCCAGGCCGGCAAAGTCGCCTGCTGCAATCCTAAGAAGGATATCAGCGGTGATGGCGTTCTCGGTAACCTCCTCGCCGAGGGACTCCTGAACAACCTGCTCGGTGTTGGCGATTCCGCCTGTGCCTCCCAGAGCTTGATTAAGAACCTTAACCTTCTCGGTATGCTCCGCTCTTTACAAGATTTACATGGACACCATACTAATGTATTTACAGGTTTCACCGAGGAGGGTCAGGAGGGAACTACCTGCAAGAACACTATTGCATGCTGCCCCACTGGCGAAGAAGTAAGATACACACTTGCCCCTACGTTCGACGCTATTACACATACTAATGTTTTATCAACAGTGCACTGCCATCGAGGCATAAATTACCTACGAGGATGGAGCGATTCTCACTCGATATGCAGGAGCAGTGGATCTAGGAAACATGAGCACCTAGAAGCAGGGGGTGATATTTTGATCTACACATTTAATAGAGACGTTGTGCCTTGTGAATCATCTTTTTCTCAACTTTCTTCCCCAAGACTCCATTTCTATAGCAAAAACAATTATAATTGTAGGCGAATGTCATTGAATTCCGATTCTCCAGGCTGAAATGGCCCCTTTCGGTCTCCTTCTGTATATCTTCTGCCCTATCTGTCAGAGATCTTTCCTTAGATGACCTAAGCTTTGCCATCACACCTCAGACAAAACAGACGCATATATCTCAGGTCTGATTTACATAGAATGAAGAGTCAGCATCCAGTACGACTTTGGCCGAGGATCGGGCGCCCCAGAAGATAGAAATGCTACATGTGACAACCACCCACTGTAAAAATATAGGAGGAATATGTCTAATCTCCATATTACCTGGAAGTTCACACTTAATCTAAGATCTAAACAACACCCTCATTTCCGTCGTTATCTGTGAACTAAAACTTCACAGCTTCCGGGTTTCTGGCAATACTAGGGCGGTTTTCTTTTCTCTTGTCTCCCAGCCTTTGCATTCGATGACACAGTTGTACTCCTGGCCTAGCAGCCGAAAGAGTGGAATGTTAATTATGTCACAAATTATTGCCACAGTAATGTCTGCTTGGGTGTGCTTTCCGAACAAGCATGGTATAATGACACCCATGAAGCGCATCAGAGTCCTGGTAGATTTTAGTCTCGAGCCTGTTACACACATTTTGGTTATGTACGATATCAAGGGCCTGTCAGAACGTATACACAAATCGTCCTTACGCAATGATACCTAGTAGTATCAGGAGAACGGCGTTCCTGGTAGCCTATTCAACGTGTGTTAAGCCCCACAAATTATTCTTGTATACCGTGTGCGGCCAATTTCCTTCGTCTGACAGACTTAGGTTTCTTAGAGTCCACAACATACATATAATTAAGCTATTTAAGCACAAATAAAAAGGAAAAAGTAGTAACAAAAACATACAGCAGCATGTCCAAGGTGGTGCTCGCCTAGCGCCCACAGCTCGGGCATGGGTGGCCCGCCGCTCTATTCAGGCCACTCAGGGCAGATAGTTATACAGCCCATACAGCAAAAGGTACGTTTCCCATCATGACCAAAAAAAGCTACAAGTATCCTTCTTTTCCCCTCCGTTTTCACCTCTCCAGCCTCGCTTTATCACGAGTAATATGCGTACCAGCATGACGTAACGTTGAAATATATAGCTAATGTTGTGGATTTCGAAGAACATAGTAATAATGAAATCTAACGGGTAGTACTGCCACGAACAGAATTTAGTTATACTCATAAGTTACTCATTTTTAACGAGCAAGTCTCAGCCCCCGGGACAAAGATCCCTCTCTTAACTAAGTAAATGAATAAAGATGACGGTGTATCCCTAAATAATTTAACTCCCTTAATAACTTAATTATGGTGTTGAGACCACTATAAGTATCATGGAGTGCCGCAATACTCCCATATTACTTTACCTATGCACGTATAGGGGAATTTCACGAATTAACCGCTCGGAAACACGGTACCTAGGAGACCGGGCAGGACGGTGAGGATGCTAACTTAGGATTCGGCGTGATGGCTGTCTAATCTAAGGTGTGTTTAGATAAGGAAAACGCTACTCTTCGTGTCGTTATAATATCGGGCTCCTTTACAGCGCCCAAGGTAAACTAAGCCAGCCGAAGTAGACGTACCTCCGGCCACTAATCTGGTTCGAGAAATCGCCCAGAGCGGAGCACCCATCAAGTCTTTACGCTGTTAACAGACTTCGAGTCTTTTTTAGCAAGCCAACTTGACCAGGCGGAGTAGATGTACCTCGGGAATTGGAATACAAACCCAGCACAGCTGTCCAGGCCTATGGCTGGAATAGATGGACTTGAGTCTAAGGGCCGGACGGCACGAGAGGATGAGATTGCGGATTAATGATAAGGATGTCGGCGTTCCCAACGCGATTCAAGCTCTTCACCACCAGACCAACTGTTCAGCGTCGGAAAAGAAGTAATTAAAGCCCGAAACAACGGTCGAACCGTCATTAGGCTACCGGCAGCTATGCCTAGACTGGCTTCTACGTTCGACCATATTGAAATCTGTGTTGTTTCATCTGCGCACAAATTAGAAGGATGACGGATTTGGACGGTGAAATCAACTCACGAAGGAAGTCTGGTTTGCCTGCATAGTGCAGAAATGGGATGCGGATTATGACAGCCATGCTAGCTCTACCGATTATCAGCATAAGCTCCGAAACGGGAGAACAAGTAGAGTATACGAACATGCAAGCAAGGCCCAAAATTGCCGACACAACAAATTTCGTTCCACGATCCATTTGAAGCCTCCAAATCATGAAAACAGGTAGGAAACCAAGGGTGAAATCACATGCTGCCGTCACCCCACTATACATATAGACGATACCAAGAAGACTGTCTATATCAAGACATCGGCCTTGCATTGATGATCGATTCCAGTAGTATGCGACTGGCCAACATTGGAAGATTGAGAAGAAAAGGAAAACGGTCCCTACCACCGTCGAAGTCATCATAATACCGTAAAGAATCCACGAATGAATGCGCTCGACCGTAAGACGAAGAAGGGTGGTGGCAATAGATAGTCTTACAATGATGCAAGTAAATACGTAAAAGATCTGTCCTAGCCACCAACACTATCAGCCATAGCAGTTAGCAAGCTCTAAACTTCAAAGGATGCTTATTACAAACACCTACCAGTAAGCCGCGGCGAACGTCGTCTGGTCTATGATTTAAAAACTCTCGCGCCTTTCCCATCCCATATAAGGCGCCCACGATGCCGCATATAGCGAATGCCATATTGAAAACCTGCATGCATCTTAGTTTAATGATTGAGTACTTGAAAGGCACTTTTTTCAATCATACTTACTGTTGCCGCTACCATCAACACATCGTCGGGCCCAAAAGACTTCACAATTTTCAATCGAACAAAGCAGCGGAGACACACAGTGACTAGCGAAAACCCGAAGAAAACTGCAGTGGTGATAATGATGGCATTGCTGCCCCCATTTCCCATAGCTTCGAGAACACGGATGTATTTGAGAGCATAGACTGGCTGTCGTTTAAGATATTCGTGGCATTAAAGCTTAATTGAATTGTTACGTAAGAAAAGGAACGACGTCATCATTGACTTATGGAATGTTTCTCTCGCAAGTCACATTGCAAGGCACATTGCAAGGATCCAGCCACATGAAAGAAATCTCTTTAGCAGAGCAAGAAGAAGGTTTCTGCAATCGGCACAAGGACAACATACGAGGGCTCACAAGTCCAATAATAGAGGCCTAAAGAAGTAGACCCACTTCCATAGATGAGCCGCTAATGGTCAATTAACCTCCCAGATCATGAACTTCTTGATATTGCTAAGAATACCCTGGCCCAAAAGAATTGTAAATTGGGTGAATGAGGCACATTTAAACGGCCTGCTTGGCCCGAATGGCTCCAGATTCGTCTCTCATGATAGACTCAGAAGGAATGGGCCTTTGTATGCATATTTGTGGCCAGGCTTTCGTTTAGGGTCAAATGGAATAGTTCCCACTTCTTCTCGCTGTACCTTAGCTGTGATGCTAGAACCGAATATAAAATCCACTCTCAAGAACTATGCGCGGAGTGTCATCTTCTCCACGGCTCCCAGGCCCAGTGCGGTCGCATCCGAAGGCTTCCACCTCACCCCTGTCTAGGCACATTCGATATTCAGCGTAGTTGAATGGGCTAAAAAGTGATGGAAGTACCGAAAAATAAAAACATACAACAGTGAGGATTCGCTGGTGGTCACCCACCCAACTACTAACTCACCGGCGTGTGGCTTAAGTACGGCTGAGCGGACGGGAAGCCCTGTTTTCCACACCCTATGGTCGTATGTACAGGAACATACATGGGAGAAAAATATAACACATGCTTAATACGTGAGGTATACATGTACAAACTCTTATTTATAGATATCTCCGGAGCGAAATGTAAGTATAGCAGCTCCGTCGCTTTATCTAGTATAAATACGTTTACAGTTATTATCTCAAGAATCTCATCGACTCTAGTTTATAAAGCGGACATCGCGACGATGGATATAGGAGATACTAGACTAGTTTATTACAAACTTAAGATCACCCATGGCCTAATTAATATTATAATCATTTTACAAGAGGTTAATTATATATTGATACGCACAAAAGGATAAGCCCCGGAAACACTGAACTGTATTCTCCGATGTAAACGATGGCGATCACACTGAGCTCGGTGACGCGCCTACACCCGACTTGCTCCGCATGGGGTAAACGGGATATCCCCCGCTCTCTTCGATCCCAGAGCTCAAGCATCGAGTGCTTATCTTTTTAAACATGCTATTATATTGAGCATAGGACGAAGAGGCAAGACAAAAAAAAAAGTTAACGTCTATTTGACCTGGTAATGACAACAGAATGCCTCAATACTGCGCCGCATCCAGGATCTTGGCAGGTAAAGATTAGAAATTGAGGCTGAGTCCGCTAGAGCGTGTAAATGCCTGGCTGTTCTCTTCTGACATTCATTTTTCTGTGAATTTAGTTTAACATACCTTGCCGCACCGCCTTCCTCGAGCACACGCATATCGAAACAGTCAGGCTACGGTCAGGCTACGGTCAGGCTACGTTCACGAATACTCCCTCCGCCCTGCTTTTGTCAAGCCGACCGTTTTCCTATTGGTCAACGCCGGCCAAATGAGCTTAGAGGATATCCAGAGCGAGCTCAGGAAAGCGACATACTACAAAGATACAGCAGAGGCATTCATCCCGTATGAAAGCATCCGAGAGATATGGGCCGGGGATCGGCTGGAACGGTTTCTGAAGACCCATGACCCAAGTATTGGTTCCTTGGAGATCGGTGTAGCACGAGACGGCTTGTTACGTACGATATCTATCCTCGCGAGTATCGCTCCTCGAGACTGGCCAGGATGGTCGAGGTTCAAAGACATTTTCTTTCCGCGGGATGATCTTGTGGCCGATCGTCGCCGGGACAAAAATACTCTCGTGCTCTCCAAGAAGGAACTTGAGGATGACTCATTTCTTGGGAACACCCTGCTAGTGCGCGCTTTTATGGATGATAGGTGGATTTACTTTCCAATTGTTTTAGGGGGGAACAAGCAAGACCCTTATAAAGAGGACCTACGGTTACCACTATTTCAAGAGGACCCTGTGATTCGACAGGGTGGCTTCGGGAAAGTGACCAAGGAGATAATACCTCCGAATCAAATCATCATAGGCCATTTAAGCGACCAGCTCGGTATACCAGAGGCGCCTCATCCAGTAAGTTTCATAGTACATGAACTGATGCGACCAGTCGCTTACAGGCTTTCTTGGTAGGTCAAACTCATAGTTGCCCGAAAGCGCTTCGCCAAGGGAAATTATGACGTTGAAATCAGACATCTGAACCATCTCCGAACAAGCCTATCCAGTCATAAGCGAATCATTTCTGATCTGGCAATATTTACCATTAGAAATGAGTTGAACATCATCATGCCGTGGGCGGACATGGACTTGGAAGATTTCTTGATTGGAGGTTACAGAGAGATGCAACCCACCCCATGTTTGAATGATCTAATCCAGGAATCCAGAAAGGTTGCATCTGCCATTGATTTCCTGCACATGCATCTCCAACTCGAGAGCGAATGGCCCGAATTTCACCACCAAGCAATATGCCACGCGGATATCAAGCCCAAGAATATTTTGGTATTCAAATGCGATGGCTCTTCTACGGGAGTTTGGCGAATTACCGATTTTGGTATCTCCCGAATAGCACATCGTGGCATATCGGGAAATTTAGATTATGCCACTAGTGCCCAGGGCCATGCTCCAAGAGGGGGCACATACCGGGCACCAGAGGCCCGGTCTCAACGAAGGAGCGATGTCTGGTCGTTTGGATGCATACTAGTGCGCGTCTTTGCCTTGGGACTTGATCCTGCGAGTCTGCCAGAACTCGACGAAATGCGAAGAGAACCGCCCAACGCTCACGACGATTGTTTCCATCGAGGATCTCCTCCCACTCTCAATCCAGCCGTCGAAGCTTGGATTCAAAAACTGCCAACCAGATACCCCGTTCCTCATAGCCCCGTTTTCTTTGACAACTTGCAGAAGCTCCTTCGCTCAATGCTTGAGATAGATTACCACCGTCGCTCATCGGCAAGTGAAGTTCAAAGCGGTTTACATAGACTTCATTCCTCTGCCATATCAAACTTTACTCCGCGAAGCTCAGTAAGCGGATCGTCAAACAAAGGAGTGGGTGTTCTTGTCACTGTCATGAAGACTGGTGGCATCAACCAGGTCCGTGAAATTTTGCTAGACGATATTGATGTGGAGCAATGTCATGAGGGCGAACGACCTTTAATCTATGCTATTGAAATGGCCAATGCCTCTATGATCAACGAGCTTTCTGATTATCAGCGAAAGTTCCACGATCAAAATTTGGACGTGCGAACCCCCTCGTCCAAAAGGCAAACGCCACTCTATCTTGCGGTTTGCAAGGGTGATTTTGACACCGTGAAAGCTGTGATTGATGCCTATGTTCATTCTGATTCCCACGCCAATGCCAGTACTTTGTTGAACGAAATGTGCGAGGATAAGACTCCGCTCATGCAAGCAGCCTTCCTTGGTAACGCCCGTGTGGTCTCATTGCTTTTACAATGCGGTGCAAATCACAGAATCTGCGTGCAGCGACAAAAGCTAAACTGCCTACATTATGCGGTGAAAATAAACAATCGCGCGCAAGAAGACGTTATAAGGGCATTTAAGGGCAATATGGTTTTTGATCAGCTCCCACCCCATAATCGTCTTGATAGTTCAGACAATATACCAAGCACGACAGCATATGAGACACCGATGATGTTGCACATCAGTCTCGCGCTGGAAGGTGTGAAGATAGACTCTTTGTGGCGAAGGAAGTTCAACGCACTCTTGGAAGGAGGAGCGGATGTGACTAGGAGGTACGACGGAACCGTTTCGGAGATGAGCCCTTTGGAAGTTGCTATAAAGGAAAGGAACGACTTGCTTGCGCAAGTGCTTGTTGATGCGGGTGCAACCCTACCAAAGGGCTATGTTATACCGCCAGGATGCTCCCATAAGATGAAAAAGCTTGTCAAGAACGCGCGCGGTGAGCACGTCCAACGGCGTGCCTTTACTTTTTACGGGTGATTTTTCATTTTCCATGTCTTCTGCGTTTTTTGCCGGTTCTATATCCCCGACGTTTGATTTTGAAGGATTCAACTGTATATTAAGATTTTTCCATTACTATTGACAAAAATGGCACAACACCTGCATATTCACATTCTCAAATATATCATACTTCTTCTCTATCTTGTAGGGCTGTACTCTCCATATCTCCCTGGCGTGATGACTTCCGATAGAGGGGGCTTAAGAACGGAGCGTGGTCCAGAACCTGTTCTTTTGTTGCCCGGCGGACTATGATATTATCAGCATATAATCATGGCAGAACAAACGACTTTCAGTTAGAGTAAACATGAAACCTTACATATTGAGTTCATTTCCTCTAGCTTCGCGTAGTTGGTTTCGGGGACCTGAAATATCAGTATGACACACAGCGTAGAAGAAACGGATGAGACCAACCAAGAAGAAAATCAAGATGAGTGCCAATAAATTCAAAGCTCTATATGATGGTCAGTATTCAGTATATGAGTAGATGAGGCATAGGAAGCAGTAGTCTCACGAGAAGATGAACAGAAGGTTTTTCTCAAATATTTTGATCAACTGGGGCACAAAAAGCACTAAAATCCCAAGACCAAGAAAATTGATCATAACACTGAAGCTCATTCCCACCTCTGACATTTATTAGTCCGGATAGTAAAGACAGTAAAGCAAGGGGGGATTTACCGCGCACGCATAGAGGGAACACCTCTGCACTCAGTGTAAAAGGAATGGGCCCAGCACCGATTGAGTAGAAAAAGACAAAAAATACACAGCTGAATACTGATATCAGGGTTAACCGAGCACCAGAGTCGGAGAGTTTAAAGAAGCCGCTGACTACGATCAGACTAAAAAACATCCCAATAAATGAGACAAGTAGCAGAGGTCGGCGTCCACGAGAGTCAATAAACCTGTATGCAGGCAAAGTAAAAAGAAAATTGGCTAGACCAAATCCTATTTTTTGCAAATTAGTTACATCCCTCTATAGTCAGGATGTTTTTTTTTTCATCACCTACCAAAATTGTACAATTTAACCGACGGTTTTTGGTCCTTGAGAAGCCAGGGTGAATAGAATGCTAAAACATTGATCTGTTGGTTTTTGGGGGATTGAGCGTTAATCAAGTGCACAGGGTATTTGAGACGTGCGTGTATAAAACTTACACCACACAGTTGTTGTGATGCCATTACGATCGAAGCGACCGTGCACGCTCTTCGAGTTCGTGGATTTGTGGCGAGATACATCATCCGCTTGAAGAAATTGCCTTTTCTGATCCATTTTTGGTAGGCATAGAGTTGTTCTACCTCTGACCACCATGGCTTCCTTTGGGGGTCCCATACTGTGATAGCCTCGGCCTGAAGCTGAGCATGGATGTAGTAAAGATCTCGCGCAGCTTGGATGGGAGTTCCTCGGAGCTCTAAGAGGCTTTTATATGCTTCGGCATATTGATTCCTTTGTATCAGAAATCTCGGCGACTCGGGACATATAAACACCAAAAATAGAAGGACGACGGCGGGTATTATGGCGGTTGCCAGGAGTACTCTCCAATTATCCATTACGATAAATGCGCACAAGAAACCGAGAAAAATCCCACTAGAGGAAAGTTAGATGGAAGTCCGTTAAGAGAGTTCGAACGTACAATGCATCGAAAAGTTGCCACAGCATCAAGACTTGACCTCGGTGTCTATCTGGTGCTGCTTCTGCAGCAAATATAGGAGCTATTGAAGCTTTCGATCCGATCTATTCAGATAGTAGTGTGTCAGATAGTAGAATGAGAAACTGAGAAAAGACAAACATACCCCCACACCAAGTAGTATTCGGCAGGCGAGTAGTGACTCCCAATTGGTGCAAAGAGCTGTTCCTGTGTTCATTATCCGAATTAGTCTCTACACAAGAAGCTTTAAGGCCACATATTACCTATCACAAGAGCGACGCAGAAAACTGCAGCAATGAAAAGCGCGGGGCGTCTGCCAAATTTCTCTTGGAGAGGATCGCTCAACCACGTCCCTCTGTAGTGTCCATGGTTAGAAACGTATAAAGAGTAAGATGTTGAAATTGTGCTTGACTTGGACCTGAGAGCCACATACATAAGACTTCCCGAAAGCCAAGGAGCTGCATTGATGGTTCCAATCAAGAATGACCCGCTCCCGTTATTACTAAGCTTAAAATCTTTCTCCCATTCGAAAACAGAGCTGCCGTTAATGGTTGATTGCTGCCATCCCCTGTTACCATTGTCAAAACAATCCAGTGGATTGACTGGCATGTTGAACATACTGTGTGATTGCGGCACAAGCCGTTGCCATGATAGTGACAAGAAGACCCCTAGTATGCAATAACGACAGCGAAGTCTCCAAATACTCTTCCTTTAGGGTCGCGGCCTCCATGGGGGTAAGCCCGGGTATCGCATGACCCCATCGCTGTTTTGCGATACTTGCGCCCTTGATGAGGGTTTGCAGGTCGACGACACTTTCGAGCTGAAGACGTTCGTGAAATTGCTCGACCTCGGCCTCTAATTGAGGGTACTCTTGGTGAATGAGTGGATTGTCTATTCTGATTGATCAAAGCCATCAGAGGTTGTTTCAAGGGACAGGCTTCGGGGGTTTCATGTGTTACATTAGGTGACCTGAAGGGCGTGCGTCTGTACTCATCTTGCAACCTTATCACTATGGACTGTTGCAAGCAAAGGCTCAGAGATACGGGTGTATAACACGACAATTATAAGAAATAATTGGGGAGATCTTTGTGAGATGAGTAAACGTACGGATCCTAGCCCAGGTGGGAGAGCCTCTTGCTGAGTTAATATGTATTCCAGGGGATCTGTAAGAGCCTCAAGTTTTGGCATAGCCTCCTCTACAGATTATTTTATGAACATCACCTTAGCGCTAAAGCGCATGGGATGAATTCGACAGTTAATCTAGTACCGAGCCTCCGTGATAAATTGCGCCAAGCTCGCACTAGGAAGATAGAAGCTGAATTACGAAGACTTGAATCATGGATATTTGTGAATGGCAAGACTAGTATGTTAGCAATGTAGTCACTCACCCGAGAGTTACTCCGTGTTTACTCTGGATATTTTTAGGCCTGCGAAATATGCCTTGCACACATGTCAATGGTAGATGTTAGAAATTATATACGGTATATAAATAGATACCCCGGGGTGTTTTTTTACCCCTCACGAGCATTGTCTGCATTAAACCAATATAGGTGACGATTTGCACCTATCGGCGAATGCCGCGTCGTAGCGGGAAGCAAGACAGATGTCAACAGCAATGCGATGGCAAAACGCTTGTGCATAAGGACGGACCGGGAAATTAATAATTGGCTTGGTTTCAGTATCACAGCCACACCAGGCTTGATTGAAGTTAATCGTGACTGCTAGACGGCTAATGACATTTACCCATTAAATTAAACCCGTACGTAAATCCTTGGAGTCATATTAGGGCTATACGAAGAGGCTCTTCGAGAGACCCCGGGTTTAATGCTGGTGTGGAGACGACGGCCCTTATTTATCCTGTTAGTTCTTACTCTCGTCTTGGGCCCTTATCCACATTATGCGAAAGTATACTCCGTCCTTGGCCTCAAATCTTTAGTTAACACAGCCTCACTCAAAATGTCTTCAAGCCGTGCACAAAGCGAATCAGTTTCGACCATTCTCAGAGAAGGAATAAGCGGTTATATCAACCGCTCAAAGCTTGAGAGTAGACTTTATGAATTATTCGGGCGCAATATCCAAGTTGTGGTGAGCACATGCTGCCTCCCATAGAAGCTCAATGTGAATGCTAAATCAGCTATATCTTACAGTACTTTTGCGGCCGAATCAGTTTCCAAGCGCAACGAGAAGTGCAAGAGGTATGCCTCCCGTGGTCTGAACATGATATCGATTCTCTCTTTCTAACAGTGATTTCTCTGGATCTAGCATGAAATAGCGTGAGCAGATCTATCAACCTTGGCAGTCCTTTAGTCTACATGGTTGCTAACATCTGACTTGAACAGGGATCTCTTTGAGGATGAACGGGTTAACTGGGGTTGAAAAAGGATATTTGTACCATATTTCTTGACTACTTTTCAGCAATTTGAACTATCTGCTTTTGAATGGACTTGTGTCAATCTGCCTTGTGGTTTAGTTGTTGTGTTGGCTACCCCTGATGGGACTCAATGGGCTGTGTCCTACCCCAGCCCCTCATTGTCGGCTGTAAACGGCACAAGAAAGAATAGATACTGTGTAATTCAAGTCACATAGCCTCCCAGGAATTACCAACGTAGCGCAACTCTCTAGCAATTTATGTTGCAGGGGATGTGAGCTGCTCAGTCGGGCGTGAGTCGCCTCTATGTATTGTCCAATGTCCCTAGGATGACTTATCCATGAGCCCTTAGGTTGACAGCCAAGGCGGTTCTTTTTAATTTTTTTTAATCTAAGCCTCTTTTCTACGACTCATATTTAAGTCGTCTCAAATGACCTCGCATAGCAATAATTCTATCTACTATTTCCTCGGCGCCTACTTGAATCGAAGAGAACATTCTCTACCGAAATCAAATTAAATGGCTACCAATTCAATCTATCCTACATTTTGTCTCCCTGACGATCCGGCCAGTATCTCTATTTACCAGAGCGATGGTTAGTTTGGCATTATTTAATCAGACTGAACAGGTGCTAACCTATGTACCCTGCAGTTGACACATCGGATAAACTCATTGCTACTATTTTTAAAGACAACGGCTTGTTCCAAGAACATATTTCAACCACGCTACTTCCAAGATTGCGCATCATGTAAGAATTTCATATCTATCTATGGATTCTTGCAGCATGTCTCACTCTCATTTCTTTGAAATCCAGCTCCATAAACTCCACGTCATCGATCAAGCCACTCCAAATCTCAGAGGATGCTCTTCAGAAGCTCAAGAACACCTATAATATTGGCGATGAATTATTGGACTTGATTTCGACATTCGGAGATAAACCCATGAGTGCAGCTGTAGGTGAAGGGGCAATGAAAGTCCAAAGTGGTGAGAATGGCATTCAAGGTGGGAGATTTCAACACCTCATATCTTATTCATATACCCAAAGGAGCTAAACGATATTTTAGATATCTCTTACAGACTCACGTTCCCAACGCCAGTGGGAGCCCACGATTGGACTATGCGTCAAATAGGTGTTTTCCACCGCCATGATCCTAATGATCTTCAAAATCTCTGGATCTTCTTTCATGTCGGCCCTAATACACCTATGCAGAAAGAAATTGAGCAATATGCCTCACTGTCCCAACAGGGGCTACGCTCAGATCATGCGTGGCTCACACTTCACTCTTCTGTTTTCTCTTCTTGTCTGCATAATTGGCGGTCCTATGTTAAATGTCTAGGCCATGATGTGGACAGACACGTTAGTATCTGCCAGTATTTACTCCTCGGTTTATCTGACTTTTATATTAGACTGATCGATCCCTGGACTTTATCTTAAGAAACATCGATCATTTTTTAACTGCCGGAGGTGACAGCAACTTGACAGCGATTCACAACACACGCGACCTTCTCCTACCCACATCATACAGATTAAGAGTGATATTGGACACCCTTATAAGACTCGGTCATCTGAGCAGTGTTTTGGCCTCACAGCATGACGGCGCAGATAATGGCTTTCAAAAACTTGCCACGTGCATGGCATACCACAAGGATCGTCTGGAGGGGCTTGTTGTTGGCGTAGACGTATTGAAGGAAAAGATCAAAGATATTTTGAACATGGTAGGCATCAACTGCCAGGATATAGCCACTATTCCCCTCGCTAACAGATATAAAGACTACACTAGGATTGGATTTCAGAATGAGTAGCCAGATGCTTGACCTCAACAATCGGATGGTTGAATTAAACAACCGCATGCTCAATGCCAATGAACAGCTGCTCCAAATTGGAACCAAAAATTTCGACGACAATGCAACGGTCAAGGTAGTCACCATCTTGACGCTTATATACTTGCCTGCAAGCCTTGTGTCGGTAAGAAGTATCCCGAGGGCCCCAAAACTGAATTTCCTTCTCACCACTTGATAGACTTTTTTCGGGATGAATTTGTTCAAGTTTGACAACGGGACAACTGAAGAACTCAAAATATCTAGGCAATTTTGGATCTTTGTTGTTGCTACAATCATCTTGGCAATCATTACAATCAGCACATGGTATCTATGGACCCACAAAGAGCAGGTTAGAAGGCGGAAGTTCCGTCTGCTGAAGCGCTGGCCAGCGCAGGATGCCGAGAAGATGCAAAGTCAGACTTGACGAGTTTTGTGCCAGTGGATATGTTCATTATGTGCTGATCGAATCAACTTAGAAGTCTTTATATTGGGGGAATTCGAGTGACAAAGCATCTTGCTATGTAAGAACAGATAGACTGCGTTGATTTTAACAGAACTAGATATTTTTGTATTCACATATTTACATACTTGATGGATGGCCATTGGGATATGCAGGATGCAGGCGTATGTGATGATCATCTATAGAACCCACCGCACCTTTCTCACATCCGAGACAACGAGGTGCAGACGCGAGTAGAGTACGACGGCTTGGCCGGTAAACCATTGCGTACCATCCGATCATAATATTTGTATGCTCAGTTATAAAGGACCAGTCTGTTTTTCATAAATTAGTTTTCCTTCTGCCTCCTATAGTAGTCTAGTACGAGATCGAAATAAGGTCGGCTTTAGGGGGTTTTTTTCGGTCTCAATCTTGAAAGTATGAAAGATCAGAGAAAACATCGGATTTCTTTGGTAACCGGCCCTTACATATTTTTTTTACAAAAATTACAAGCGGATTCAGGGGAATGTGCCGCCACGCTCACGTGGGAGCCCTGTGACGATTCCTTGGCAGTTCGTTCCCGATACTCTGTTGTAAGGATCTTTATCCGCTAGACTCAGAAGGGCCAAAAAACGTCAGGGAAATTAAATTGACTTTGTATTTATATAGTAAATTGATCAATTGATTCATATAACATTTTAAATTAATTAATTTACCATGTGGTTGTGTAGTAAATGGTGGTTAAAGTAAAAATGATAAAAGATTTTACCAGTTGTACGTTTGGGTGATCCCCTCCGTTTGGCGGACTCCGTAAGGAGGGTCTGTAATTGTAAAAAATATAAGGGCCGTTAGTGGGTCCTGAGAAAAGAAAAGCGTTAGGGAGGAAGCAGATTTCGCTACTGACTGTAGTGCGTGTTATCCTATAACCCGCTACTTCGTAATATCTATTTGAAGAGGTATCATGTGAGAAATCAAATACTCAATGTTTCTCCTGCTTAGACCTGACAACGGGTAACCGAGTATAGGGGAGCAGATCTCTCACATTGGTCAATGACTCCACCCGATAATTCTATGCCTTAGATGGAAAGGCTCTCACACAAATATGTTTTCGTTGTGAAAGCCGGAGACTCTTGTATGCATCTAGTCAGGGTCTGGTGCCCCTCCGACAGGCCAGAAAATCATCGAGACCCTCTCCCTCAGATAAAACCTTCCCTTTATATGTCCCATACCATACTTTCATATCATTCCACTCTCTTTAATTTTGTCCCTTTTATCTCTACTACGGTAGCCTCGGCCTCTCGATCACCATGGCTATCTTAAGCCACTGCGCCCCCCTCATTACCATGGGCATCTCAAGCCGCTGTGCCTCATGCACCCCTGTATACTTGTGAATTGGTGCCGCGTGGGGGCGAATCAGTTTGAAGCAATGATTGACACGCATGAGCCCACGCGGCTGAAATTCAGCCTTGTGCTCAAATAATTGGCATATTTTGCTCTTCTGCAGCACTTGAAATTCTCTCAATCAGCAATTGCTTGTTTCACCAAGGATTCGGCCTGGACGCACACTGGTACCTAACGAACCATGAATCGTGGCAAAGCTCATAGTCTCTGGAGTCACGTCCAATCTACGTTTATCCGTCAGCAATACAGTGGAGTCCCAAATGACGGACGACGGGGTCATGATGAGCACGCCGCACTGGAAATCCATCCCTCGACCTTTTCCCTCGCATCCTTCTCGTCGAAAATACAAAAGCCACGGGCTTCCTTCCTCAAATCAAATCTCGAATCCATCGAGGGCCATACCCTGATCCAGCAAACCGATGGCTGGCAGACAACAACAGAGGCCATCGAGGATGGTGGCTCACCATCGAAGGTGGTGGAAAACAACTGGATTGTTGGAGTACGGTACTGTGCTGCAGCGGGGGCCTGTATCTTGGCCATAAATCTGGTCGTCACAATCGTTGCAGCTGGAATAGCGACACGGCATGGTGGTAATAGCGCTTGGGGAACCTCCGTAGTCATTTATCAAGGCGATTGCGGCATCGTCAAACGATGGTCCCTTGCATTGCACTTGATTATTAACATTCTAAGCACGCTCATTCTCGCTGCCAGCAACTACTGCATGCAAACACTAGTCGCTCCAACACGAGATGAGGTAGATGCGGCTCATGCGCGTGGCGAGTGGCTAGATATCGGAGGTGCCAGTATAAAGAATCTTCTAGCGATCGGGAGAGACCGACTTGGGCTATGGATTATATTGATGCTGACGGCATCCCCTTTTCACTTGATGTAAGTGTAGGAATACGGGCCACCCCTGTCTATCGCTGATCCAGGCCCCGATAGGTATAACTCCATGTTCTTCGAATCGTTGTCCACCCATGACTTTGGAATTTTTGTCGCACCGAAAGATATGAATTCGTCCAACGTAAATTCTCTCAGCACTCCAGCTCTTGAGAAATGCTTCCATTCGCCAAATACCCACAATGATAGGGGAACAGTTCTGAGCTGGAATGAAGCTGTTTCTGAAATTACAAGTCGGAATTACAAACGATACGACTTTGACGCCTGTTCTTCTTTCCGTCCCCCACACACGGGGATAAGAGCACTGGTTATGCTTGCCGATGATTTGACCGTGAGTGATGGGGGCAATGCATCAGTTCTCACCGTTGATCGTGACCAAACCTTCGTAGACAACACTGTGTACGCTGGTCCGTTTGCCTTTGAAAGTGCGGGGGATGGTGCTTCTGTACAGTGTACGCGTGAAGAGAACTTCCCTACGTACGAGAGCTTTGATAGCCTTACTGGACACAACTACACGGTCCATGAGTGCCTGGTGATCAAGGTTGGTGAGCACTGTCAGTTGTTATATAGCCCACCTATATGCATTGCAATTGCGCTTACCGCATTTGTGAAGGTCTCTGCCATGTTTCTGGCCGCTCGGGTGGGCCGCAACCGATCTCCGCCCCTTTTGACTGTTGGTGATGCCATCTCATCGTTCATCTCAAGGCCGGATCCAACGACAAAAGACCTATGCTGGCTGTCAAGCAAACATGTCCGCAAAGGGACCTGGACTGGAACGCACGGAGAAAATTCCACTCCTATTTACAATTCGCTCTCAAAACCGCAATTCTGGTCGCGAGCAGCAACTCGATGGAGATGGATTGCAACTCTATTTTCGTATGCCTTACATTCATTCACAAATATTTTTTATCATTGAAATCCCCAGGAAAATCAGCTAATACTCAGACTAGATGTTTCCTAACCCTATTTACTGGAATCTTTCTGTTTGTTTTCAGCTTGGGGGGAGTCGATGGAAAGTGGATTTCTGAAAGCCAGTTTGAGAATCTTTTCTCATCAGATGTGGATGAAAGCGACTATGGGACTATTGGTGTTGGTGTCGAAGACATGCTAAAAGCTGTGGTACTTGCCAACGTACCGCAACTCGTGGTTACCATCTGCTACTACTGCTATAACGCAGTACTGACCAGTATGCTAGCTGCTTCTGAGTATAGCTCCTACGGAATCGAACGCAAGGCGCTTCGTGTCACTTGGCCCATCAGCAATAGCCAACAGCGATCGACATATTGGCTCAGCATTCCCTACCGCTACAGTGTGCCTGTTCTTCTCCTATACATGACCCTCCACTGGACAATTTCTCAATCTATCTTCTACCTGCAAATAATTGGATACACACCGCAGGACAAAGAAGGATGGAGAACCAGTCAGCTTGGTTACTCCCCTGCTTTCATCCTCTTCTCGGTCGTGGTTGGGGCTGTCATGATACTTGCATTGTGTATATTGGGACTCAGGCGACTCAAGTCAAACGCTCCATTGGCTGGATCTTGTTCTGCTGCCATCAGTGCCGCCTGCCATGCACCCACCCATGAGAGCCTAGATTCTGCAATCCGGAGCAAATTGAAGTGGGGTCAGACCACTGGCCTGTCGGTCGGGTCGATCGACTCCGAGGGAGATGAACCGGAGAAGGGACATTGCAGCTTCACGTCATTGGATACTGTGAAACCCACCCTGACCAAACTATACGCTTGACCGTCTTACAGTATAATGGATAGACGTTTGATATGAAAATGTCCCTAATCCTAATGAATTTTTTTCTCTCCAAAAGTCTAACGGATTGGATTGCCAGCCGCATCCGAGGTCTCCAATTAGGACCCTTTCGGCCTCGGGGTGGGCCTGTCATATAGCCGAGGACCGCCCCTTTTGTCGGAGTGAGAAGGTTGGAACCTTCATCGATCTAAAATCCTTAGAAATCAGAACTTTCCTTACCCAGACGGAAAAATAAGTAAAGATAATCTGCCTACATACTAAGCTTGGCTGTAGATCCAGCGAGAGTAGAACGATCTCGAGACGAGCAACTGCTACAACTTGCCCGTATAATGCTCAAAATATAAGCAAACAACACTAGACCTTTGTTGATAGATGAAGGCACCAGCAGTGTCGACATAGAAATCGATTCCCGTGTGTAAGGAAACTCTTGGTGTACGACACGTAAAAAGGTCCTCTGTACTGTTTACACCTACCACTGCCTTTGTATATAGTACATATGAGAGTCTACTCCGTGCTATTATTTATTGTTATTGAATATTACAGCACCGAGAAGAAAGATATCCTAGAAGTATAAGAGTACGTGCTGAACTAAGTGTCCGTGACTAAAAGGTTTGCGCTCTGGGATATCCCTGGATGTTTGCATGTCACCGAACTTTAAATTGACCGTACAACATTGAGCTTTATCATTTCCATCACCTTGATCCAACCGCTTCTCATCTCTTACCATCTTCCCCCTTCATGCTCACTATGCCCGAGATGGAAGCTCATCCAGTTCTTCCTAAGATGATTGGTGAAACGATCACTGCACCCTCCCCGAACCTTCTGGACTCTACTCTTTATCCCCGTCGTGATTGGGTCGTCATCGAAAAGCTGAGTGAGTATCCACGCCCGGTTACCCCCAAAGATTTTGACGATGGAGTGGGCCCCGCATACACCGCTGGAAAATATCTTTGTCGCCTTGCAGGTTCCAGAGACCACGGTAAGCTTGCCTTCATGCACATCTATGAACAAATTCCTCTAGTTGGGACTGAACTTGACAACTTGAGCGTTCGCAAGGCACAGGCCTCTCAGCCACGAGGCCACGTGGAGCTCCATGCCTTAAAGCATCTTATAAAGAATAGATGTACTACTACCCCTAAACTCCTTGGATATCCAATCGATAAGCAAGACGAGAACGACCTTGTCCCCGGCGGATATCATCCACCTTATATGGGAAAATGTCCGAGAATATTATCCTCTTAATATTGAGGAGTTCTGGAGCCTTCCCTACAGCCGACGAGAAAGCATCCGATTTTTGCTAGTTCTCAACTCCCCAGCCTGGTACAAGTACCTTTCCATCAAGGCGAAGGATCTCAAGAGTGAACAAAAACAGTGGAAGTGGTGAGGAGAATAAACGCTTCAGGGGCATTCGGGGCGTTCAGGTAAATTGCCTCCAGGGCTGAAACACGAGAGGAAAAAACAGGAAGAAAAAAGAAAAACATACAACAGTGAGGATTCGCTGGTGGTCACCCACCCAACTACTAACTCACCGGCGTGTGGCTTAAGTACGGCTGAGCGGACGGGAAGCCCTGTTTTCCACACCCTATGGTCGTATGTACCAGTTTATGTATGAGAGAGGATTATAGAATGTAAATTATTGACACGTGGCTGGGAGCGGATGCGATATAGATAGAGTGCTCAACGAATTCTAAGATTTTGGTTTAGCATGGCGAAATCAAATTTTGCTTATTGGAACAAAGCTGGTCAGCCGGTCAGCATTGCAGCTGGGGCTCAAAATCCACCAACGACTATTCCATGCCCCATAAGCCCCACTTTCATTGAATTCTTCTGTTCTACTACTTGACTGTCTTGCTTATTAGGACCTATGTATCAAGAGAGAGCTGTAATACCTAGAGAGTACGTATGTAGAGAGGAAAACTGTCTATATCCATATTTATTCCATGCAATGACTTGTTGGGCCACAGAGAAAGAGAGGGAAGAAGGAGCAATCTCTGCTGTTCAATCTATGGAGAAAGGGGTATTAATACCCTACTGTCTAGCAAGAAATCATCAAACAATCGCATAGTCTATAGCAAAAAGTCAAGCACAAATGAGATGGCTAAACCAGACGGAAAGGAAAGAGGTGGTCGGCAAGAGAGCGAAAACCGTCTACATCCATCTAATGATTTTATTAGTTATGGCGGCCTGGGACCGCTGACAAACAAATGATAGTTGTGGGAAGAAAGAAAAGAAGAAAGAAAGAAAAGAAAAGAAAAAAGAGAGCGAGTGAAGACCATCCTGTACAAGGGAAGAACAGAAGGGACAAAAGCATCAAGGGAAATACGGATCTCTTGTCTCCAGGCTGTAGAGCGAAGGTACTCATGGTTAACGACCAGAGGATGTATTGGCAGCCCCTATGTACTACCTGATATCTTCTTCCCCTTTGGGACACGAACAAGCCAGTAGATAAGCAACGCGCCAAAAATATTGGCTATGATGTATACCCACATCAGACCGAAGTTCCGCCATGCATCAGCGAAATCGCTGGAAATCTGTAAGAGGTACGTATTCGTTTTGCTGACCGTGCAGAACGAGCAGTCGGTGGTAGCTAGGGGGTCTTTCAGATACCCGGACCCAGTCATTTTGATGAAAGGGTCCATATAGTCCTGACAAGTTTGATTGGCTGGGGGGTTGAACTTTAGGTACTCGACTGCCTCGCAGAATGCATCAGCACCCGAAACACCCGTAGAAAGCATTGCTGAGACCAAATACGTAAACGGCGAAACGCGGTACATGAAGATCCAAAACCCAGGCAAGGCCTCCTTGGTCGAGAGAACGCCGCAGAAGATCAAACAGAGGGAGAATAACAAGGTCGCGATGTTGCCACCAGTTTCAGCCAATTCAATTCCTGCAATCACCATGTGTGCGAAGGTTGAGGTGAATAACAAGAATGTCCAGATCAATAGGAACATGAGGGCGCCTCGTTCGCTCACTGCGTCATCCGGCTCTGCATTCCTATACAAGCCAATTGGATAATACCAGCAGACGAATATAAGTACCGACATGAGTGTATTCCACGGTAATTCCACCAGGATATTCGAGATCATAAATGCCTTCCAGCTGTATGCCTTCGACGGACGCTCTCGCACCTCGTAAAGGGAACGTTGGGTAACAAAGTTTGGCATGATCTGCTGCACCAGATTCCCGAAAATTGTCATCAACATGAAAACACTAAACATCTGGTTCTGGAGGCCTTGGATGGAATTCTTGGCGCGGAAAAAGGAGAATCCAATATATAGCGCTGTGAGGATGCAAAGGGCAGCTTTCGACCAGATATAAGTGGGGGTTCGGAAGTATTGTGTAAATACACGTAGGAGACATTCCCACAGTTGGACGTAGAAAGGCGCAGCGAATTCCCGGAATGCGTCAGGTGAAGAACCAGCTTGTGACTTAGAGGATAGGGTGAGCTTTAACTCCGAGAGATGCTCCTTAACCTTTTGATACTCGGGACTCTCCCGCCAGACCTTTGGCCACTCAATTTCGCTGTGCGTACCCGGGGCTGCACCAATAACATCCAACATCCATTCTGCGGGGTTTTCTCCAGGGGTGAGATGATGGGCACCGTTCCGTTGGAAATAGTTCGACAGAGTGGACGAGTTTTCTCCAATCTCACCAAAGTAAATGGTTTTACCCCCCTGGCCAAGAAAAGAAGACGGTCGAATCGCTGGAACAACATAGCCGAAGGTTGATGAATAGTGCAGAGAATTGCTTGCCCATGCTTAGTGAGCGTGTCGATGAGGTCAAGAATAGACCAAGAAGTTTGACTATCCAGACCACTCGTAGGTTCATCAAGGAATAAAAGGAGCTGGGGCTTCGCGGCAAGTTCCACGCCTATTGTCAATCTCTTCCGCTGCTCAACGTTCAATCCCTCGCCCGGGACACCAACGATAGCATCAGCGTACGCTTCCATGCCGAGGAGTTTAATGACCTCCTCGGCATACTCTATCTTTTCTTCTCGGCTGACCGTGGCAGGTTGACGTAGCAAGGCACTGAACACTAAAGCTTCCCGAACAGTCGACGTAGACAAGTGCAAGTCCTGCTGTTGAACATATCCGGTTTTTCGCTGAAACGATTGGTCTGTAGGGTGTCCGTCGACGAGCATTTCACCAGTGACAACGCCCATTGTAACTCGGGTTGCGAGCACGTCAAGCAAAGTCGTTTTTCCAGCCCCAGAGACACCCATCAATGCGGTACAAGTCCCGGGTTTGACCCAGCCGTCAACGTGGTCCAATATCCTTCTTGGTTCTCCTTTGATTTTGATATCATAACACACATCCTGCCACTGGAATATGGCAGTTTGTCGCTGAATTGCAGCCGCTTGAGGGGGAGATTCGTCTGTCTTAGCGATTGCAGGAGGTTGTGAAGATACCTCCAAATCGCTCTCTCCGGTATGTTTCGGCTGATGGCCACGGCGGAACAGAAGAACCTCGCCTTTGGACTTTTTCTCGGAGATATACTCGGTGGCGAGGAGATAGGTGAACATGAAGAATATCAGGAAGGCAAAGAGAATTCCAAGGTTCCTCCACAAATTTCCTTTCCGATACCCGAAGCTTTGGCTGAGATACAGCGATCCAGACACACTGGTGGAACCTGACTCGGCACCGACAGTCGAGCAGATGCGATGATCCATGGAGACTTTCTCATATTCACCACCAGAGGGGACAACGGCAGCACATTCAAAATAACGATCATGAAATTCATTGACCATGAAGCTTTCAAATGCGTAGGCAACAGGATTGATGTAGTTCATCCAACGAGACCACCCAAGCATATTGCGTGTGGGAATGACGAACCCAGTATAGATGACCATACCCAAAATCAAAACGGCAGCAGGGACCAAGGCCTGTGAGAGGGATCGGGAAGATCCCGCAATGGTTCTGAATATCATTGACATTGTGAACGTGGTGATGATGGAAAATAGCCAAAATGTAAAGAATGCTCCAGCTTCGCGACGCAGGTCGGTCATAAAGTACAATGGTATGTTAAAAGTAAATGAATTGATCAGTTTGTATGGGGTGTCGCAGAGCATGGACGCAAGTGCCTCTGCGAAAGGGTGGTAGAAGGCGTATCGGGCTTGCTTCTCAACAATTGGGCGTTGGGCGTATAAGGTCAGGATTTCCAATGCACTGGAGAAGGCATTCAGGAGGACGGCAAAAAACAAAAGAGCCCCTCGAGAGTAGAAGCTGGAGGTGTCCTTGGGCAGGTTCACAAAGACGGACCCAATAATCAAAGCCATTATGAAGTTGCCAATCAAAGCCGTTGCTGTTAAGCTATAATCTCCACGAAGGCGCTGGAAGCCACGGGTCACACAGAGGGAAATCTGTTTCCGTACCGAAATGGTGTATGGTGAGTTAACCCTCTGGTGCTTGCCCTGTATAGCCTTACGAGCATCGATAAATGCATCGTAGGAGCTACCTTTGATAGGGTAATCTGTCTCATACTCCTTGATTTCAATGGTAAGCTTGGCACGGGCTTCGCTTCCCTTCCATGCTGCCGCAAATTCATCAGGAGTGCGAGGGACGCGACCTTCAAATCCACTCCGAACCACGCGTTCCGAAGGGCTGGTGATCGACGTCAAGAAGTCTGCCGTGGTTTGACGCTCCGGGCACTCATAGCCCATATCTTCAAAGTATTTCCTAGCCTCGGTGGTTGGCCCGAAGTAGATCTGCCTTCCTTCATAAAGCAATGTGACCTTGTCAAAGACGTCGTAGGCATTCTGTGAAGCTTGATAGATGGCGACACAAGCCGTTATCCCCGAGTATTTGCTCATAAGAGCGAGATTTCGGCAAAACTCGAGCGCATTAGCGCTATCAAGGCCTCTTGTGCTGTTGTCCCAGCACTGCAAGGGACTCTGACTGAGGGTGGCCTCTGCAATACTGACGCGTTTCCTCTCGCCTCCACTAACTCCGCGAATGAAGTCATTACCAACCCGGGTGTTCATCGTATGAGAAAGACCAAGCATCGCCATGACCACATCTCTCATATGTTTGGCATATTGCTTGTTTGAAACCCCCTCGAGGCGATTTCGGGGGCCCTGGCCAACGCTGCGAACATGAGGGTCTCGCCGACGGAGAGTTGGGGGAAGTGGACATCAGTCTCTGCTGCGTAGATTGCTTCGCCTTTGAAGGAATGTTGCATGTCGTGTGCAGAGATACCTAAAGATTTTGATATTTGTTAGAATCCAACAAATGAAGTTATATGGTATGGTGTGGCAAGACACTTACCCTGATAGTTGAGAATCGACTCTTCCGACATCTCAATGCCATTCATCTCACCGGCAATGGTTTTGAGTAGAGTTGAACAGCCACTGCCCGGCTTTCCCAAAACCACCAATGTTTCTCCGCTCTTTACGAGACCATCGAAGTCACGCAGGATCTGAATCTTCTGAAGTTTCAGGCCAGCCAGTCGGCGGACCATCGTCCCAAGCTCCAGCACCGAGTTCAGGACATCTTTCTGATAGTCGGTGGGAGAACCAAATCCATGGACGCTCAGGTTTTGGAATGAAACACCAGCGGTCCGATCTGGGTATTTGTCGGGGTTGCGAGACCGGATGGCCAGCAGCATCTTCATCCAATCCCGTGCCTTGAAGTTGGGGCTGTTGGGATTGAGTGTCGATTCAGAGTCTCCATTGGTAAACGGATTGTCCAATGCACCATTCACAGAGAATCGAGTAGATTGCCGGGTTAGCTGTCGTGCTAGCCGACCAACCAGCGCCTCCTTATTTTCCTCCTCGTGCATAGTATCTTCATCCTCATCCTTTTCTGGGTCGTGGATCATGTTGAAATCGTGCTCACCCGGAGACTGTACTGTATTGTGACTGACCACGGACTGGGATCGAGAGGTATTTGGGTTGAGTGTCCCTAAGAGCGACATATTGATTCCGATATCAACCACTAAGTACTGGAATAGACTTGGGCAGGATTGCCGTGTCGCTGGGTGCTCGTGTCGAAGCAAACAGGATGAGACGACAACAAACAAGTCAGGAAGATGCAATGCAGTAGAACATAAAAAGGATTAGATTGAGGGGAGACCCAGAAAGCATGGATGGTCGACAACAGTAAACCACAAACAATCTGGGAGCTCGGCATATATAAGGTTGGCTCTACATCCACAGACCAAATGTCCCTAGGCACAAATTCGTTTGCATGCCGGAAGATCCGGCCAGGTTAGGTATAATCATATGTGAATGCAAGAGAAGAACCTCCGGAGTGCCGAAATCGATCGGACCCTGGATGATGCATGTTCGGCAAGGAATGTATCTTATTAGAATACTTCCGGATCCCGAAACGGGGTTACCAGTTGTCCCCGAAGGCCCTACGGAGTATGTATGTTGTACTATGTAGGTCAATGGAGAGTCTACAAGTCATGCAAGGGAGACGGATTAGAGTGGCATATCTCAATACGTGGTATTTACCAACTAAAGAACATCCGGCATCCGATGGTATACCAAACAAGGCTAGAAAATAACCATTAGTCAGACTCCAACCGTATGTAAAAATACAGCTTAGATAAAAACCTGATATATCGGGCTATCGGAGACAAGCCATTCCGAAAAGGCTAAGAGCTCAACTTAATATGGGGAATCTCCCATTTGCCATCCCACTATTCGCCTTTTTTTTTGGTTCTGATGCTGTGGATATTTTTCTTGTTCTGCTTTGTTTTTTTCTAATAGGTTCTAATGCTCTTAGGACGCCTATACCTACATGTGTAATTTTACGACTTATGAATATTCAAAATGATGAACGGGTTGCGCAATAATCAAGGCTACCTCGACTCTGCACGACATTTACCCCGACTCTCAAGGACAGAACCCGGACACCCAAAACGGAGACGGGAGAGAAAAGTTGGACTCCCGAGAGACAAATCAAGCCATCTACTAATCCTATTATTAGGCATGTGAGACCTGTCGGCACAGAAAAATAAAATGCGAAATTACCACCAAATCCAAATGCTCGTACTGCAGCAAAGCCAACATTGCTTGTTCTCTGACAGAGTATAGGCGACAAAGGCATTTAAAGAAGTACAACTCCATGGATGATATTATAACTCGTCAGTAATGAATAACAATCGAACAGTCAGGATATGATCGACCGCCTGGAGGCAAATATCCAGCGCATCGAAGCTCATTTTCAGAAGATAGGATTTGACCTGGGTCAAGATGTGGACGGGTCATCATTCATCGAGAGCTTTGAGCAGTCGGATGAATCCTTATCATCGAGTCCAGTTGAAAATACAGATATAAGAAGAGACGTGGGTATTTGGAATTCAGGACCAATGCACATGGACGCTGAACAAGGCCGCTCTGTCGCTACACACAATGCATATCGTACGCTAGTTAACTCCTCGGATGGAGTCTACACAACAATACTGGGCGATCTGCCCTGCTTCTCCGTTCCAAGGTGTTTTGCAGATACACCAAACCACGGTGAGAACCATATCCGATATTATGGCCGATTAAAGCTGATTGATATAGGCTTCTCGGTTCTATCCCCCGAGGGAAAGAAATGGATAACTCATAGAACGGAAGGGGGGTGCGTTGACAGTTTAGAATCCTTCCTTTCATCGGGTATCCACCAAAAGACGGATCGAGGCCTGCTTGAGGGTTTATTTCCTGACAAGCATTTCTGCCCATTGCCCCCAATAGATGAGATCGCATCATTGGTCAATGACTATTTGCAGCAATTCAACCCTTTATGTCCTATATTTCAGCCGTCGTCGCTATTGTCTCTTTATGATGACGACAACTTACAGACCATATTCAATTTCCCCGGTCGTTGGGCGAGCCTCAATGTTGTTCTGGCGATAGGGTTTATGCTGCGCGTAAAGGGCAGCTCCTCTGTACAGGCCGAGCACCAGAAAAGCTGGTTGTTCATGAAGAACGCCTTGGGGGTTTTGAACGAACTTTGCTTTGGGCCACCAGATTTATGGACCGTGCAGGGACTCTTAGGGATAGTAAGACAACTAACTACCTTGAGAGAAGATATGACTAACAATACTTTCTATTTAGATTATCTTTCTCTTAGGGACATTGAGCAGCCAGCCTTGCGGATATTTGATTTCCTCCGCTGTGCAGATATGTCATCAAATTCGACTCGAACGAAATGAGGATGGGTCTGGATTGTTTCCTGAAGAACTAGAACACCGCAGGCGGATCTTTTGGATTACATATTGCCTCGACAAAGAGTAGGAAACACTACAATATTGATATCTCGATCTGATACTGACCTGTCATAGAATATCTCTTCGGGATGGTATTCCATTAGCACAACGCGATGATGATATGGATGTCTTATTACCAATGGAAGCTCCACTGGATAACATAGGAACCATGCCAACAACAGACCAACAAGGAACCTTCAACGCATTCAGAGCAGTATGTGAGCTAGCCATAATCAAGAGCCAAGTACACACACACCTCTACTCGTTAGCAGCAGCAGATCGCCCGCTTGTTGAGGTGGCTGCGGCGGTTGCGCGGTTGAACCAAAAGCTCCAACAGTGGAAGGATAGTATCCCCACCGAGTTCCGACCCGACCTACAAAGGATTCCCGCTTTCCCACAGTCCCCGACAGCTGCAGTCCTTCTTTTGCTGCATTTCTCATACTTCAACTGTCTGATCGCTATCCATCGGGTTACCGCGGCCCGAGGGTCAAGCCTAGGTATGGATCTAGTCGAAAGCAACAGTTTCCACATTCCACCCAACCCAGTGGTATTCATGTCGGAATCCCTGTGCACAAAATCCGCAATAGCGTCGATTAACTTGATCAAATATATGCCGAAATCTGATATCATTGTCGGGTACGTGACGACTCAGATCCAAACACGTCTGGACTTTTTCTTTCTTCTTCTGTAACTAATTTACACAAGGACCATGATCTACTACCCTGTTCTAGCATCCAAAACACTGTCCTCGACCATCGTCGGGAATCCACAAGACAGCTCGTGCATATATCACACTAGGCTTATCATGCAAGTGGAAGAATTTGTGTCAACATTGGTTCTCGGTACACCCAATAAAGGGATAGAGGGACTTTTGAAGGAGTTGCAAGATAACAGAGAACTGGATAAGGAAAGAGGATCCCTCGCTCCACAACCAAATAGAAGCATCTAGTCTGACGAATGGACCCAACAAATAGGTGCCATCAGCTGCGCCAAGTATCGATCTCTGGCGGGTGCTACACAATATGTCGGGTTTGATCACAATGGTAGATCATCTATTTCTCTCCAAGACTTTGACTGATACTTCGAGTCCCATTTCATCTTAGCATTATTAGACCAACCATATTGTGTTCCAATCCACCATGCTATAAATTCTTTATCAACCATATCGTTATAAAGAACGAATACCTTTCTGCGATCTAGACCCATGCGGGCGAGGTTCTCAGGGACTGAAAGTGGAAGTTGGGGGCGAAGAAACTCAGTACCAAATATACCGACTGCTTGCTGGCTATCCGAGGGTTCAGAGATAGTAGGGAGTTGCTCGTTATCAGGCGTAAGGCAGGTAAAGTTGTTAACATCACTATTGTGAAGAGATGATGAGAACGCGTCAGAATATTTACTCTGAGTCTGGGACATAGTGTGAGGGAATAGTAGAATGGTAGAATTTAGTAGAAGAAGGTTTTACATACAAGAATAATCGTAAAGTCTTAACTAGTAGTTTTAGTGTACGTTGTCACCCTTGAAGAGAGTTGACATATCGTACTAAACCTTAAAAGAATAACAATTGGCTACTTTACTTTAGCTTTAGTGGGTAAAGCCCGAGAAACCCATAAAAATCTATAAAAGCCCGTAGAATCGCGAAAGATAACTGGCAAAAGCCCATGCAAAAGCCGCAAAAACCCATATGAAACCCGAAGAGCCAGAGAAAGAAAGAGAGAGAGAGTGGCGTGGGGGGTTGGAAGGTGGGGGTGCACTCCACGACTATCATTATATTTTAATTTCTTATGTATGGGGTTGGATGGGTTTGGATTTATGGGCTACAGGAATGGGCTAATTCCGCACTCTTTACGATCAACATCTGTATACTCTGGGATAGATCCCGCTCGGCATTTGGCTTCGAGTTCTTGCTTCAGTTGGATGAAGCGTCTGCATAGTCATACGCAACTAGTTAGACTGTAACAGGTCAATTGAACTTTGATTGATTGATTGATAACCCGAAGAGCTATCAAGAATCTAGAAAACGGGAGAATATAACATCCTACCAAAATATACATCACCAAAATATATCTCTACAACTTCGTAAGTATTTTTCAGCTTATATTACCATAAATACTATTTACCGTGGGCTTTATTATACCAAACCTATTATGATAGTATCATAAAAGTAATATATAAACGTCTTTTCGAAAGAATTCGTCAGCATTGTAGCTGAAATACTATATCTTGATTTAAACTGGAACAACTATAGAACAGTGTATTTTATTAGGCTATGTAAGCAGCTTTATACAGCTTGGCATATCTCTATTGGGAAAATTATGTAGTCGCGGGTTTCGGGTTGGGTTGCGGGTTCGGGTTGCAGGCTGGAATCACTTACCCATTCGCGGGTTTTGGCGTAGACTATCTGAAAGAACCGACCAAATTCCAGTTCGAGGGACTCGATGCGGGTTTTGGCGAGGTCTAATCACGGGTCGGAAGAGAGATCATGGAATATACTGTACCCTGCAAAGAACGAAAGAATCAAGCTTGGTGAATATATTTGTCCATCTGGTGTGTAGGTACACTTTGGCTGTAGGGCCTGACGGACTTTGAGAGTCGTCACGCTTGCACAAACCTTGCCTTGAAAGCCAGACTTTTGACTGTAGATAAAGATATCTCTCATTTCATGACTAGAAGTTTCTCGGGACTAAAACGTCTCTCGCGGAAGTATACATATCCAAGTCTTTCATTCTGTACTTCCTGTGCAGAGGATGTACTTATGGAACACTATACTCAGCATTTGAATGCAAACAGAGAGGCGTTCAATGTTGCTCAATCCGTACAATTTTAAAGTGTATTCACAAGGATTGAAGTTCCCAATATAATCACCTGCATTGCTGGAAATGTTCCGTTACCAGTCAGCCTGGAAGCGTGACAGCCAAGGTTATCGACCAAATCCGCAATCAACGATCGCCTGACTTTTGCTTCAATTTAAACCTCTGTACAAAAGCTAGGTTTCCCGTTGCTGCAGGCATCAGGCTCACCTTCTCCATCAAAAAATCCCTCCCCCACATGCACATGTGTGCGGTAACCTGCCCTCGTACCTACACATTGTCAAAGTGGGCGCTTTGGACCGCAGCTCCAGGCAAGTCCTGTGAAGAAAAGGCCATTTCTGTGCACAAATATAGTCTTGACACGTATAAAGTAGCTGATTAATGGCTGTATTTTACGCATGCACCAACTTATATATTCAATTTCATCATATTATTATAGTAAGAAGTAGGAATTCAGCAGATATTATACTGATTTGAGCATTATGATACTAGGTTTCATGCAAAACTTCATACAAAATTACCCTAAAAGCTCTAACTTGACCACGAACTCGCACTTAGGAGGATTACTGAGTATTAGTATGAAGAAATATATATATTAGGCCTATAACTAGGTGTTAATTATAGTAACTAGCACTAATGGTACCTCTACTTACTAAGTAATTTCTTAATAAAAATAAGTACCCTTTATAAAAAATAAAGCTTTAAAAATCAACTTTGCATCTTATGAGTTAATTTATAAGCCTATAAGAAGAAGGTTTCTGTATAGCTTCATGTATCGCTCATATGGTAGTTTAAACCCCCAAAAAACTAGATAAAAATGCATTAATTATATAGCTACGACAAATTGGCATGTTTATATTGTTTAGGGCCCATTATGGGCCCGAATGGGCCCGAAGGTAGGGCTCAAAACCCAGCCCATTTGGTGGGTTGGGTTGGGCTATGGGCTTTGTGGGCTATTGAGAGGTCTAGTTCCCACACCGTGGCCGCTTTACCATGGCAGGAGGTCTCTCTCAAGGAAGTATCAAAGAATCAAGATATAACTGGTTATGCTAGTGCTAATTTCACCAGCATAGCTAAGCATAGACTATTAAACCCCTGCTTCAGACCAGTCTTTTATGCCACGGTTGCCACTACGCATGTATGGGACTACTATGTTTTGCCAGATAGTCATTGATAAACCCATTGAAATCCTCTGGCTTGTATGGCTCCAGGAGCTCAGCCACTGGATTGGACTTGCGGCGGCTGTTCAATCCTAGGTCGCGGAAAAGAGTATCGACGTACTATATACACCCCATACATTAGTATCACCGTGGCAAAAGAAGAATTTCCATAGGAGCTTCGAGCTTCAAGATGGGAGCAGAAGGGGAGAAGGAGACAAAAAAAGGAAGGGGGGGGGGGGGGGGGGGGCTCAACCTACCGGGAGGAACTCGTATAGAGAGTACGGCAGCTTATGCCCCTGTGTAAGATACCTCTTCCGGGTCCACGCATTCCACAGCGAGACTTCCTGCGCCATCTCATCCACACTTGGCAGGTCCAGTTCCCCGAGTAGATATAGGATACTCCAGAATGACTGTACCTCTGAGACCAGAGGCGTCTGAACGGTGTGGATCTGCCCTAGGATGGCGATGGAACGGTCCTCTTTCTGCGCCAGGCCGACTGAGATTGCGCGACGATACAGCCTCCACTGGCTCGGGGGAATCGTCCGAATGCAATCATTATACTTCAAATTCGGGGGATCCGCCAGGAAAGGTAGTTGCTGGTCCACCACTTTCTCAGCCGCGGCATCGTATTTCTTCCAGTCGACAACCCCGTCCGAGGACGGTGGTACCTCGGGCGAGGATACAGGAAGTCCCAGCTCGGCCTTGGTCTTGTCATCGAACATGTCGAAGTGATTTCCCCAACCGGTGCAGAGGACCAGACCGTCTACCTGGAGTGTCTTCCCGGACTGCAGGGAGAGATGATTGCCATTGATACTGTCAATCGCATCCCGAAGCACGGTCAGGTTGGGACTATGCAGAGTCGGCCAGAAATCAGGGAGCGTGACGACGCCCAATCCGGAATTGGCCCAGAAGACACTAGGAATTTCAGTAATGTTGTGATGGGGCCTCTCCCGCCGCTAATCGAAGAGGTTCTCTAGAAAAGGACAGCAAAAGAGGGAAGGAAAAACTACTCACCTTTGTCGGTCAATTTCCGGTCTCAGCATCTGAACATGATCGCCCTTCGAGTATCCCGCATGGGCGTGACTCAAACCGGTCAATGCATCCCAGAATCTACCAACGCACCACCGCCCGACAGGGGTTCGCTGAAACGCCCAACACAACGATCCCTTGACGTTCAAGATTGATGGGGTCAAATACGTCATCAGGCGGGTCGATGCAAAAGCGATGGTGTTCACCAGCCCCAGAACCTTAAACGGCATTATTGCCAGCGGGCCGGCACCATTCTGCCGGATGATCCAGGTTACTCTCTTACCCATAGAGAGGAGTAAATACACGGCATCATAGGCGGACTTTGCCGCGCCCACCACGGCAAAGTGCTCCACTGACGCGTTGTGTTGCAGTATGGGAATTGAGCTGCCCAGATCCCGTGAATGAATGATGGGAACCGTGGCGGTATTGGCTCCCGGGTACTCCGGGGTATAGGGGATTGATGTTACTCCTTTGCAGACGAGGAGCTTCTCTGTTCGGATAACATCGCTGGAGTCTTTCAATTATAGGCGCCAACATTCCTTGTCGCCTTCTTCCCGTGCCGCGTTTGTAACGAAGGTTTTGAAGCGAATCCGGCGTAGTAGATCATGGTCCTCCGCGTACTGGTGGAGATAGCCATGGACCATGTCTCCGGTGACATGCTCATCTTTTGAGTCGCCACCATTGGGGGCCATGGCAGTATCGGTATAATTGAACAACTTTGTTCAACGAAGCGTCAGAGAGGTTGCTGAAACTTGAGTCTTGCCAAAGCAGGATACAATATAAACAGAAGAAGGAGGAAAGAAAGGAGGAAAGAAAGAAAGAAAGAAAGAAAGAAAGAAAGGAAGAAAGAAACACAGACAACTTACCCCAAGCCGGACTTGAGCGACGAGATTAGGATAGACACGGTCCCGACTCCACACTCCTCCCACTGTGCTGTCACTGTCGATAATGACGAGGTTGGTCGCAGGTCGCAAGCGAAGATATGTTCTGGCGGCCACCAAGCCGTACCATCCTGCCATGTATCAGCTTTTTCCTTCTCATCGCCCACAAAACGAACATATCATCATGAGGATCGGAAAAGACTACAACCTGCGCCAATAATTGCGACATCCACCTCCTGCACCTGATCTGGAAGCATGGTAGGCATGTGTTAATTGATGCTGGATGACTATGGTCAACAATGGCATGTTTAATGGGACTGCCCAAGCTCTTCATATATCACTAACTCCGAGATCCAGAGTCAGCTCAAGACAGTCTTCGGTCTACCTGAGGGAAAGATAGAGACCTGCTACTCTGAACGGGCACGCGTCTCCGTTAATACTAGCCATTGTACGAGAAATGCCACGTTTCGGGCAATCCGGTCCGAGCGGTCCAATCGGCCCCAAGCTTCTGTATAGCTAAACGAATAAGGATGTTGCGTATTCATACGTGGCCCATGAACATGGATGGCTATACTCCGTATACCATGCTACAAATGAGCATAGTGTCCCTCTGCAAACTTTTAACAATATGAAAAATAACCGGGGCCAACCGGGCGAGGCTTCTATGTCGAGTTGTCGGCCCGAAGTAGATGCAATCCTTGTACATTTCTCCTGCACGTCGGCCAAAACCTACCTAGTAAGCTGATGGATTACAAATCAGCGGGACTAAGGTGGAGCTCCCCTTTTCACGTATATAACTTTTAATCTCCCTTAAGCAACTCAAAGAGCGATTTGGCCCTATTCTACACTCTACCGTGGCATCTATATCTACTACTACCATACTATCATAATCATCATTATGCCGACCCCCTACACTACTCACACCACTACCGATGAACTCATCTCTGATTACGCTGCCCTAATCAAAGACAAAGTCATTTTGACCACGGGTGTCTCCTCGGGCTCCTTAGGTGGCTTCTTTGTTCAATCTATCGCCAAGGCCAAACCTGCGTGGCTCATTCTAGCCGCCCGCAATGCTGATAAGCTAGCCAAGATGGCCGCGGAGATCACCACAGCCCAGCCGGAGATCCAAGTTCGCACGCTCCAAGTTGACTTAGGCTCCCTGAAAAGCGTACAAGAGGCTGCCGCGCAGGTCAACAGCTCCTGGGACGACATTCCTGTGATTGACGTCCTGGTTAACAATGCCGGAATCATGGCAGTGGACTACCAGCTCTCTCCCGAGGGCTTTGAGTCCCATCTTGCCACGAACCATCTCGGCCCGTTCTTGTTCACCAATTTGATTATAAAGAAGATTGTGGCCGCTAAGGAGCCAAGAATTGTGGTGGTCAGTAGTGATGGTCATCGGTTGAACCCATTCCGGTTTTATGACTATAACTTCGATGTGGGTACTCTTTCTCTTTATCTATCTGATGACAGTTGGCTAGATGCAACCAGCTAGGGAAATCTTGGACAAAGTGAGAAACAACACTAACAGATATACGGATTGACAGGATGGGAAAACGTACGACCGCTGGCACGCATATGGTCAGAGCAAGACCGCGAATATGCTGTTTGCAATTTCTTTGGCCCAGAAGCTTGGGATTAAATATAATCTCCAGGCTTACAGCCTCCATCCAGGAGTCATCTGGACCAACTTAGGCAATCATTTGGACTGGAGTGTGGAGCTTGACGGACTACGTAAGGGAATCTCGAGTTCTTTTCCATCCTCACATACACACATATATACATATACATACATACACATACATACATACATACCTGGTCCTAGGAACTGACTGACTCTTGCTAGGGAACGTGGATAAGTCCCTGGGTAACCCGGAAGGATGGAAGGAGTTCGACGCAAAACCACTGGAAAGAGGAGCCGCAACCCACCTCTATGCGGCATTTGATCCATGCCTGAAAGGTACAGTTTCCTGTCTATAGGGGAGGTGACGATCTTACAATACACTGACTATTGATAGCCAATAACGGGGCCTACCTGATCGACTGTCATGTTTCTGATCCTCTCGTGGACACGGTCTTACCATGGGCTACCAGCAGCTTTGAGGCCGAGAGATTATGGCGACTAAGTGAGAAATTGGTTGGGCAGGAGTTCCCCTACTAGGGGTTGAGCTTAGGCTCTGCTTCTAGGGTCTGACCTCCCATATGGTTATTGCTCCTTTGCGTAGCTGTAAAGAAACCTACTTGGATCAGCGCCCGGGTCGATTGCTGGACAGAGGAACTCTGCCGCTTTTCGAATGACCTGCTATGGTCGTGCTCAAATATACTCTAATTGGGCAAACCTTGTCTTTGTACCCTCAAATAGACTGGTTATCAATTTTGTGCGAGGTAATTAAACTGAATGTGGCTTCAAATGCTTTTGGCTTTTTGGCGAGTCGACGACCATCTAACAAATGTTGACTTGATAAGCTTTTGTAATGTCATTTCCCATTTCGCCGAGAGAGGGGCGTATTCGAGCGGTTTTCAATGAAACAAAGACTTTTTCCAGAATCGAGGAAGCGGATCCTGAGTATAATTATGTATGTAGTTGTGAAGATTTTCCGTATGAACCTCTTTAAATGTTATCAGTGTAGATGGCCCGCAGTACCTCATCTTTATGGATACAAAATTATATACTGGTAGTGACTTCCACCGCAATAGCGAGCGCGGAACACAGATATTCCAAATGTTCCACGCTCGCATCACCTAAGTCAAAAAACCAATATCTCTAGAAGAGACAACCATAAGTTGACATTACATTGAATTTGTCAATTACCTATATACACTAAAGCTTCAAAATTTTCTTATCGACACTTATGGCAGGTTCGTGCATGTGTGAAAAATTAAGAGTGACAGCCTGAATTGCTGATATATCATCTCTACGCTTAGCCTCTGAAACTCTCGAGTGAATACCCTAGTTAGCCTAAGTACTTAGTCTTAGGTAGCTAGCTTACTGTACTGCATACACTCCGTTCATCCGACCCCTCTTACATGTACAGTATACATACTACTCTAGCGCTTCCTTCATCTACAAGCGCATCCGCTGTCAGTCATGTTATATGTAAAATCTGATGCAAGTTGGGACTCGAAGGATTAAGTAGGGCGAAACCCTAACTATGTGGGTTTGAGCTTGACCTAAGTACGTACATCCATCTCATTCTTTGCCGCACTCCAACTAAGCACAAAGAAAGTCTCGCGGGAAATTCGTTCAACTTAATCGAATCCCGTAGCAGGAACAACCCTGGAGAGGCGAGACTCGACGGTAATCATACGAGTCTCTGGATCGACTAGCATTCGCCCATTGCCCACCAAGGTCATATTTTCCAGTTCCTTGAAAGAGGGATCGCCGCTGAAGAAAGAGTGGGCACCGGCTAGAACATTATTTCTCTCAGAAAGAGTCTCAATCATGGCCATCGTAAGAAGGAAACACTCACTACTGAAGCCGAACGGAACGCTCACTGAATCGGGCGTCTGATTGAAGATTTTCATCACCGCCTCAGTGAGCTCAATGGTTCCCGTATATCCGAAACTGATCTTCTTGTCATCATCGGTCCTAGGTAAACTTTGTCAGTGGGTCTATCACTTTTGGCCCCCAATCATTCAAAACGCAAGGCAATTTACGTGGCAATAGCCTTCATGTTAATGCGGGCATGTTTCTGGTCCGGATCGAACTCAAGCCAATCAGCACCAAAGTCGATCTTGCCAGTGAATTGGGGCTCAAAGCCCTCCACGGTTTCAATCGTGCCAGTGGGAGTTTCCTTGACCCTCTTGTCAGTAAACGCCCCATGCACGACACGAGATGCTTTCACCAGGAGTCTCTTACAAAATGGATGAGGGTCGGTCCGCTTTGACGGGGTCCTAGATTCATGCACAATCAACGGCAAGTGTAAGCATTCTCTTATCTGAAGGGGGCGGGCCCGGGGAGGGGAGGAGATGGTGAGGCGCTCTACGATGTACCGACTGGATGAGCGGCACCTGCGTTGACCTTCCAAACAATGGCGGGTTGAAGGCTCGGAAAGTTCACAATTGGAGGACTCATTGTGGACTAATATCGTGTTCTCTAATCAAGCCGAGTGATATTCATCGATGAAATCCTGTCTCGGACGGACTGGCGGATGTCTTATATATCTCTCTGACCGATGAAACCCTTCATTTTTCCCATCCCACGAGAGAATGGAGATTGTCGCCGTCGGGGAGATTCTGTGATGCCCGGCCCGAGCATGGAGGACAAAAATCGTATCTATCGGCGTAACGGCCGAGAACTGACATCAGTGGTACTTTTCGCTCACGTTCCATCTCAGGTGACTGCACTGCTTTGGAGAAGAGCGAATTGGCGGGGATCCCTCTCATACTATAAATTTTCAGCGCAGGCTCTCGTTCGGTAACCCTTGACAGATGGGTAATTGGATATCGTTGGGCAGACAACAGTTTTCTAAATCACCCGCATTTCCTAATACCCAGGCACCCCCGAAGTCTACTGCAAGAATTTATTTCACCCTTCTTAGACTGGCAACTATCAATGTTGACTGTTAACTGGCCGACCGCCAAAAAGTGACCAATGGAAAGCCTGAAAGACATCTTTAATATGCGTCAATTTCAACTGCTTGGACAAAGTTTCGCCAGATTTCGAAGAATTCTGGTTTCTTTGAGCCAGACCGTAAAAATGCTAGGGATGTCGAATGATCACCAGCCTCCCTGAACTACCCCAACTAGAAGTATCCGGAATTTGGCCATCTCTCTATTCCGGGTTCAACAATACTGTGACCCTACCACCCCATCTACCTCATCGCTTGATTGACCGACCTTTTACCCTATTGGTGGTTCCTATTCCTTTGCCTTTTTCTCTTTATCAATGATGTCCCTGAAACCCTATGCCAAATTCGAACAGCTCTCATGTAGTAATTTATCCCGTCGGAGTAGCCCTAGCAGGAGTTGTGCACATGAATGCACAACATCGCCAGCGCCCTCCTTACGCATGTGTAACTCACTTGCCGTATGTAATATCCTTTGCTCTGATACGTATGGTCTTTCTTGAACCCTAATATTGCAATGAATTTAAGAAATGCAATACCTTCGTGTACACGAATCGGAATTTCGGGAGCTGTGGGAATTTCTTGGGTTTGGGGCGTACAATGCATTCTTCAGGTACCTGACGGAGACTAGTCCCCTATCTCACGATAGCTTTCAGATGTTATAAGCAATGTAAGGCTTTCGAGAAGCAAAATTTTCACAAAAGCAGGAAGTTTCGAAGCTTCGTCAAAGCTCTTCTCACCTAATATATGGACTTCCTAGACTCTATACCATCCGAAACCCAATGAACCAGAACTCAGACTATATGTATCTAATAACCACGAACATAGTCTGAACATCTATTCTCCTATACACGGATGGAGAATGACTGTCTTCTGAACCTCCTTGCAGTTGCCTTTTCCCATCACTGACCGCCAAGGGTCGACTCGGCATTCTTCCCAGCGAACATGTCTAGGAACCATTTCGTTAGTCACCAACCTTCAGCGGGGTTGTCTCGCTCAAATGTAGGAAAAATACGTACAAACAGTGGCTATTGGAAAGGTTGGAGGCACAAAAGGAAAAGCACTGGCGTCAACGACCCGGAGGCCAGTCACCCCACGCACCCGGGCCCGAGAGTCCACCACGGCGGTGGTATCGTTGGAAACACCCATCTTGCCTAAATGTCACATGAGGCCATCAGTTGGGCAATGCTCACCAGCGGCATTAGGGAAGTCAAACTTACAGGATGATGTAGCGTGATAGATCAGACTCGTGTTATCCTTGAGCCACTCCAGGATCTCAGTGCGAGTCGTCACATTGCGGCCCGGCAGATATTCTTCCTCGACAATGGTGCTGTTGAACGCAATCTCTCGAATGCGCTGCAACGCAGCAATTGCCTGCTCTTGATCGCCCTCATCCAGGAGCCAATTGGGGCTGATAATTGGGAGGTCAGTGATATCCGCGCTCTGAATGGTCAGGTTTCCCTGGGCAGAGGTGGTGAGTAGGGCCGAGCCGATGGTGAGGTAGTTGTCATCGGGACCCAGGTCGGACGGGTAGGAGTCATACTCCAAGGAAAGATAGTTGGTCTCGGGCCAGTCACTCGGGAACGTCTCAAGGAAGTTCCGAGTGGATTGACTGAACTCCTGACGGTAGGAGGTGGGGAACTTCTCAAATGCCAAGGCTTGGCCTCCTCCGATGCTGGACAGCAGACCCGTCTGGTTGGTCAGGTATTCTTCCACGCGGGCCCCAGAGAACTCGGCATTGCCGGCAGCCATTTGAGTGCCGGTGGTCACATTGACCTTATATGATAGGGCCATCCACGGTTGATCCTACAATTGGCATTTGCCAGGTGCATTAGCTGTTTTGAAATTCTTGCTCTTCCTTGTCGTCCCCTTTTTGGGAAACGGGAACACTTACCCTAGCCCCCTGACCGACTCCGGGTAGGTCGGCTACAACGGGGATGTTGTACTTTTGCAGAGTCTGTGATGGACAAACGCCAGACAGCATCAGGATTTGAGGAGAGTGACACTAACAGAACGGGGTGAGTATGATAAGCAACACAAGGTCACAATATAGGCGATGGACTTACGGTACCAGCAGAGACAATGACCTCTTTGTTCGCATTGAGATGGTACTTGAATCTCGACATCAACGAATTGGTCTGCACCTCCACACCCGTGGCCCGCTTGTTCTCATCAAATAGAACCCGAGAGCCTAGGGTCTGTGGGTACAGCTTGATATTCGAGTGCTGTGCAGCCAGCTGAAGGAATGAGGTTTCGGAGCTGCTGCGAGTTGCTTCGTCTGGATCAATGGCAGCCGTGATCGTGGCATAACCAATCAGCCGCCCACTGTTGAGTCCGGGGAGACGTTCAAACCCGAGCTTGTCAAGAGATGCTTCTAGGTATGGACCGTACGGGCCCTGGTAGTTACCGTACGATACTTGAAGAGGTCCCCCATTGCTTTCAAAGGCCGACGCATCGTACGAAATGTTGGCGGACGGATCGATCTTGTTGTAGTTGGGCGCTGTGAAATTGCAGCTCTTCTTATAAGCGGGATACACATTGTCCCAGGACCAAAGATCATCGTCGACGATTTTGGACCATTTATCAAATGTGCCCTCGGAGGCGCGCGCATACCCCATGTAGTTGGAGGCCGAGCTTCCGCCAAAAGTCTGCCCGGCAACATACAGGATCTCGCGTCCATTGTAACCCTACACATACGTACAAACCAGTTAATTCAATCCAAAGCGACATGGTCAATTCGTACAGGTGCGGACGTACCCCTTGAGGTGCAGTTTTCAAACCGAAATTAGTCAATGATTCGAAAGCGCCACCCACAAAGTTGGCCAGCGCCGAGTAAAAGTCATAGCCAGGAACCTGAGTGCGATTGGAGTTGAGAATTTCGTAGAAGGAACCGGACTCGACGACTGCCACCGAGTAATTGGCTGGGTCCAGGGCCAGTCGGGCGGCAATCGCATTACCTGCCGTGCCTCCTCCGACTACGATGTAATCGTAAGTGGCATTCTCCCCGGGCAGGCCGAAGGAGTTACCGAACAGCTTTGTGATGCCATTGGGTGAAATACCTGCGCCAATAGTGGCCAGAGTAGTGGGAAGGAAGCACTCGATCAGGTGAAAAAGGCACATGATTCCCCTGACCCCCTAAGTGTCTTAACAGCAAATTCCTAGGAGGTATCACTTCGTGTCGATATTGACCGCGTATTTGCTGTTCTTGCGGATCCTCGGTCCGTATGTGTATAGCAGATAGGGCACACAGGCCATAACTGCACTGATAGATCCGAGTATCGTGAGTGTATACTGCACTCCGATAGACTGATAAATTGGACCACCAGCAATAGTCACACCTCCCGCAACCACATATCGCGTGAACACAAGGAATCCTAGTGCGGAAGCGGAATATGTACCGTATGAATCGATGAGATACATGTATGAAACAATGAAGGTAGTTGTGATGCCAAAGCCGAAGAGGACAGATGCGATGAGAGGAGACCAAATCGAAATCTCGGGCTAAATTAAAACGAGAAGAAAGAAAAGTTAGCCTTCCGCAAATTCGCTTGATATCCAGATAACTTTACGTTGCTAGTCCATCCCATCCAGAACAAACTGATCGGCACCGCTGGTGCACCACCAAGCATTGCATACCAGAGTCTCATCTCAGGAGCAACGGCAGGGGATTCCTCTCGAACAAAGGCCTTAGCAGTCCAATTGTAGACTACTGGCACCACGCAGCTGACGAGCAAGGTTCCAATTAGCATACCAGTCCAGCAAAGACTAGTCAGACCCTCTGAGATGCCATATGTTTTGCCAAAGACATAGGTAAAGCCCTCTAAAAAGGTAAACAGGACGATGTAGATAATCGTCAAGTAGAGCGAGACTAAGACGATGATCAGTTCGGAGTAGAACATCGCAAAGGGCCGGTACACAGAGAACTTTAGACGCTGGCCTAGGCTCTCGCATTTCATCTCCATAGGAGCTCTGTATCTCTGATCTCCAGTCTCTTTTCGAAGTATTGAGGCCTTCCAATGGAGAATAAGATCGCCGTAGGTCTCTGGCTGAAACAAGAGGACCAGAACCAGAACCGCGCCTCCCATTATAAGCATTGTCCATTCTAGCCAGCGCCAGCCTAATTTGACTGGAACGTAGCTTCCAATCATCTGACCGATCATCGGCCCTGAAAATGCCGGTATGGCGTAGACAGGAAACGCATAGGCCTTCTCCACCGGGTTCCATAGATCTGCGACTGTGCCACCGGCGCAGCTTAGTGGGGTAGAAGCGAAAAACCCGGCCAGAAAGCGAAATATGAGGTGACTGTGAAGGTTTGGTGCGAGTCCAGATGCCATAATGAAAACCAAAAAGATGACCATGGTTGTTAAATATACCGCATTGCGCCCAAATGTCTCAGAGAAAGGGCCAGAGAGGAGAGAGCCGAAGGCAAACCCGATAAGAAAAAGGCCTTGGCAACCGTACAAAGATTCAGTTTATGTCCTTTCTTAGATTTGAGGTAATAGAAAGCAGAAAGATGTCGCCATACCTGTTGCGAGAGATCCAACAACCTCAGATACTTGGAAATACTCACTGTATTCCCTGACACCACAAGCATCGATCGCAGATGCTGCAGTAACAGACAGTGCAATCAAAGAGACCATGACAGTCATGAAAAGCTTTCTCCCGGTGCTTTGATTCAAAGGATTCAAAGGATCATTTTGCCCTTCCCAGCCCACGAGAATCAAGTCACCTGTAACTGTTGACTTCGCAGCAGGCTGCTTCTCCGGGAGGCCGTGATGGATGTTCAGCCCACAGCTATGCAAGATGTGTCAGACAAATGAAGATCGGAACTTTTTCGCCAAAACTTACTTCATATCATGAGGGAATCCAACGGTGTAGTTTGGGCAGCTACAAGCATTTCTTAACTCAAACAGGTGCTGTTGAACTGCCTGCTGAACTCTTTGGTACTGAAGATAGGCCTCCATCGCGGCCGAATACTGCAAGCAAGACAATGAAGATAAGTAGAGGTGCAGAGGGACGGAGATAATATGTTTAAAACTAGGACTCAGATGGTTGAGGTAGTCCGGGCAAAGCTGACAAACTCATCAAGTCATGGGTAACCCAGACCGCAAACTACGAGTTCATTTTGAGGTATCGGAGATCAACGGCCCAGAAGTAACATTTCCGATATCTTAATCCCGATCTCAATTCCGACGCTAAGTTCACTCCACTATCCTCCGATTAATTTACCAGATAGTTGCACTAAAATTAACTTATGATGTCGTTGTCTGGCACTCTTTGGATAAGATGATGGTCGATGTTTACTACAGATCTTTGTTTAAACATGTGCATATTCGCTCACTTCAACTTGTGATGCAATTGCATATCGAAATCTTGTTAGACAATGAATACCAAAGGAGAGAAGATGGCCCACTGCCTTTCGTCTTCGGTGATGCACTTTGTGGCTCTGTCTTGTTTCGCTGTAACCGCTGGATGGATACCTCAAATTGGTCCTGGAAGGGTTTTTTCTCCCGCCAGATTTACCGCTTTTTCTAAATTTTCATGTCGCAGGAGATTTGATGAATCACATATATTTGCAGTCTGACAACACGTATACACTGAAAGTAAATGGCCAGCGGGTAAGTGAGAATTAGCAATTGACCAAGTAACTCCTGATAGCTAACATGCCTTCGACAAGTTGCTCCATTTGGCTCAGGGGAGCAGTCTTCCTGAGATGGGAACTTTATCCGGCATCCAATATATCTCAGTCCCGTTTTATTTCACAGTAGCCTACTAGGTTCTGTGGGTTGGGTTGGGCTGGGCTATGGGCTTTGTGGGCTATTGAGAGGTCTACCCGAGAGTGTATGAGTCTCAAAGAATAATGTTTATCAGATTGCCAAATCCATTGCTTGGTAGTTCTCCCCAGGAAGTAAAATAAATAAACACGCAGGTATCGCCCATGATATCTTCCCAATCCCAAGAAACCAAAGAATATGTTTTTCTCCGATGCTCGGGATTAAGCCATCAATTAGAGTTGCATCGCGGAGATCGGCGATCGGCGGTCGGCAATAGGTATCTCCGAATTACCTCGAACCGATCTTCCTCCTGGCTTCAAATCAACTCCGAACCACAACTGCCAGGTCGGACTTGTGAATCGGAAACTGTCTGTCTGTTTTCATTTTTCGAAGGGCAATGATTCATAATACTCCGGCACAAACCGGGCCCGTGGACCCACCCCCGGATCTCATCGCCGGAAACGCAAAACCGTGAATTGCGAGGAATGCCGACGCTCTAAATTACGATGCGATCGCCAGCACCCGTGTGGCGCTTGCAAGCGTCGCCGACGCGATGCCAGCTGCTCCTACGAGGTTAACACTGGTGTCCCTTTACCGATAAACACTCACAGAGCACCTGTTAATGCTCAAGCGTCAACTGTGTTTAGCAATAGAGTAGAATCCCCGTCTACTCCATCGAGGCAAAACCTTGCCAGTGCTTCTTCGGCTTTACAGCCGGAACTGCAGGCACCTGAAACGAATCAAACGCCTCTAGATACACACTGGGAAACTGTGCTTGAAAGACCAGCTCCGGAATCTGATGCTCACGACACTTTGTCACCTCTTTCAATCGGCCTGCGTATGTCTCTCCAAGAAATCATTGACTCGCTTCCGCCTAATTCTTGTTGCGACTATCTAATTTCACACTTTTTCAAAAATGTATCCTCTTTGTTCCCTATTCTCCACGGTCCAACCTTCCAAAAACAATATTCGACATTCATGAAACGACCTCATGACATCGACATACCTTGGCTGGCTTTGCTTTTCTCGTTGTGTTCTCTGGCTTTATATACAATGGATGAAAGTGATCCTAGACTAGCACATTTCTGGTCTCAACTGCCTTCGAGTCCCACCCAGGTTCCTGCCACGGTTTATGCGTCTCGCCGCCTTCTTCGAACCGCGATGACGTGTCTTTTACTGGATAACTTTTTTATTAACCACAAATTCAGCACATTCGAGGCTTTATTAATGGTAATCTACAATCTTTCCCACAATGAGTCTGTCGACCAAGGATGGGCCTTGCTAGGGATGGCATTGAACATTGGCATTGCATTGCGGTGTAATGTGGATCAGAACCTAAGCCCTATCGAGACTGAAAGAAGGCGACGCTGTTGGGCTGGTCTTTTAACATTACATACGTATCAGGGCATGCTATTTCGGGACGTTGATATGTCGTATCTTCTTGACATCAAGTCCTCCCTACCAGCCGATGTCAATGATTCTGATATCACGGACGAAGGCATTCTGCACTCACTCGGTCGCAGTGAGCCTACGCAAATGTCAGTCATGCTGGACAAGGTTCGGCTTTTCCAGCTTTCCACTCAGATCTGTCATCACATATCGGGCCCTTCCCGGCTAGATCAACATTCACTGAATAGATTCGATGCAGCGATAGCCGAGGAACAAAAAAAATGGGACTCGGCTTATTTGATCGATGGCTCTCCAAGCATTTTGGATTCTACTAGCTACGCATATTGGTGCGTTTTACAGACTTACGCACATCATCTCTATCTCCTTTTACACCGACCATTCCACAATTCCAAAGCACCTTCGTTTCTTCCAACGTCTAGAGAAAGATGTATCAGCTCTAGTACAGCCTTATTATTCATCCACAGACAGCTATATGAAGCTCCGCTACTCCGAAGTTATTTTTGGTTACTCAGTGGGGTGACAAGTCTGAAAGCGCTCCATGCAGCTGTGGCTCTCAATTCGTGTCTTCGGGATATACCATCAGCAGTTGATTCAGAAGACGACTTGGACTCTTTGCGGAGGGAGATTGAAAATTTGGTTACCCGGATGAAAGATCTTTCAGGCCGAAGTAATATCTGTTCCAGGGCGTATCGGATACTTCGCCATTTGCAGTAGGCTACGCCCTATTACCTTGCCAATTATGGTTAACTAAACATCTACTCTAGGGGTCAGGCAGGCACGGCAAACCCCCCAACAGGGAGCACGGAGACTCAGGAGTCTCAGTTTGAAATTCTTTTCGATGAGTGGACCGATATACGGGAATGGATGGATACGGATGTGATCAATTGGGTAAGATTGCGTCTTCGACTTCTAGGCTCCCTACTAACATTGCCAGAATTTGGATGGAGCTTTCAACGTCTTTGCACCTTGATCGATTCTTTGCCATACTGGGAGTTAATATCGCTTTAGCCGACCCTTATATAACCTCGTGAGAATATTGTGATAGATAATCGAAAATGCTGGGGTTCGGTAATGGGTTATTCAAAGAGGGGTCGTTAGATCTAGGCAGATTCTGATAATTCTTTATGAATGAATCCTTTGAACTAGCCAATATCCTTCTTCTAACTACTCATACATTGACTCCATAGGTTGTGAAAAAAGGGCACCAGAGCATTCCGTTATAATCAGTTTGAATTGTTGACGAGTCTTTTTTGGACAGCAACGAAATACTGAATAACCTGTTACTAGCTAGTTTAGTAGTTAAATAGTACTTTTAACCGAGAAAACTAGCAACGGGGGAAATGAGAGAGGAAAGGGGAGGTCCCGCAATATCCGTGCGCCTTCTCGGAACATCGGTCCTCAATAAAACTCTAATGGAGGTTGATAGAACTACTTAAAATAGGAACTATCCGTACAACAGTTGTAGTCTTATACAGATTTCTAGCAGCACTTGATAAATATTTGTCAAGCTTTCAATATAAATTGGCCAGCATGGAGGGCAATCTTTCTGTGCGAGGCAAAGCCTTTGCGGCACAGAAGCCAACCTTCCTCGACGTATTGAGTGATCTGTGGGCTCCGGAGGCTAACCCCGATGGAATTGTGAATATTGGTCTTGCCGAGAATGTGAGGAATAACCGCCTTCAATATCATCATTGCTAACATCTGTCTAGAGTCTCATGCACGCGGAGATGGAGAGGTTTATCAACTCCCACGTAAGATTTAACTTGACCTACTACACACATTAGTACCTGACCAAAGCTCTGTACTAAATCGCCTTTCCAGTCGCAAATCGACGCACATGCATTGACTTACGGAGACGGATTCAGCGGCTCGCACAAGCTCAAAGAAGCCGTCTGCCATTTCCTGAACAGCCAATTTTCCCCTTGGACTGCGCTCTGCCCCTCCCACCTTGCCATAACATGCGGTGTCAGCAATGCGGTTGAGTGCTGTGCCTGGGCTTTAGCCGACTTTGGCGACTACATTCTCGTTGGGCGTCCATATTTCAATGCATTTAAGACGACGTTTGGAACACGGCCAGGGTAAGGAATCCATAACAAAATTTCAGACACACCTGAGCTTACCGGTGTAGAATTGAACTCCTTGAAGTCACGTTCGCAACAACGGATCCATTTAGCTTGGCCGCAGTCCAACACTACGAGAAGACATACGCCGAAGCGAAGAGCAAAGGCTTTCGCGTCAAAGCACTCCTATTGTGTTCACCACATAATCCGCTTGGTGTGTTCCCATATCTTCCTCATATAAAAGTCGATCGTTTATTGAGAGTTCTTCTAGGACGCTGCTACCCCGAAAATGTTCTAAGAGAGTATATGAAGTTCTGTACTAGAAATGGACTTCATCTAATCTGTGATGAGATCTATGCAATGTCCGTCTGGGAGAATCCTCGCCTGCCAGATGCCCCAGGCTTCAAATCAATTTTGTCTTTGAATGTCAAGGACTTGATGGATCCAAGCATGGTGCATGTTGTATGGGGGCTAAGTAAAGTCTGAAGCCCCTTCCTTTGCCTTCAATGGGATCTGACTCGTTGCTTTACTAGGATTTTGGCGCAACAGGATTGAGGATTGGCTGTTTGGTTAGTCAGGCAAATGGGCCGCTCTTGGAGGCTGCAGATGGCATTTCGTGAGATTGTATTACGGTCTTAATATCGGAAGACTTGCTAATTATCTCTCCCCAACCAGTCTCTATAATTTCCCATCAAGCCTCGCAGACCAAGTTGCCACAACTGTCTTGCTAGATGACAAATTCACGAGAGTGTACATCGCGACCAACCGGCATCGTTTAGCAGAAAGCTACCGTTTTGCAACGGATTTTCTCCGGTTCCATCATATCCCCTATGTTGAGTCCAACGCTGCATTTTTCGTTTGGATGAACTTGAGAGCTGCATTGAAAGATCGTGCGGCCACGGATAAGGACATTCTTGCAAGGCTTCGGAAAGAAAAGGTGTACATTGCAGTTGGGACGGCCTATGCCGCTGAAGAAGTGGGGTGGTTTCGAATGGTGTTTGCACACCCGCGAAATGTGCTGGAGGAGGGATTGAACAGGATGCTTCGAGCTATTCAATCATAGGCAATGCTTACTTCAACTTCATCTATGGAGGAGCATTAAGGTCTAAGAATCGTTATCTAGAAGATGAAAAAAACAAAAACATACAACAGTGAGGATTCGCTGGTGGTCACCCACCCAACTACTAACTCACCGGCGTGTGGCTTAAGTACGGCTGAGCGGACGGGAAGCCCTGTTTTCCACACCCTATGGTCGTATGTATAAGACTATGTCTGGGAAGGGAATATATAGTATAAATTGCTGGGTAGTGAGGAAAGAGGAACCTAAAATGCCTAGTCCCTTGACACCTAACTACACACAGCCACCAAGTTAGATGCATATTAGCAGAAATAAGAATTGTCGTTATATTCTCGACTCTCTCAAGGCAGTTGCCAAAATTTAAAATTCTGACTCGGCACTTGCCATACAGGATGTTCAATTTACAAGCCTATAGAGGAATCCGAATCATCCAGTCAACAAAGGTGGCTTCATATCTCATATACTAGGAGGTAAAATGGCTTCCCAAAGGTGAAATAAGACAGAGAGCGGAGAAAGCCGAGAGAAGAGGCGGGAAGCCAGGGGTCGTTCAAGACGAGCGCCTATTAGCTTATAGACTACGAATCCTAAGGCGGCTAGTCTAGATATTTGTTGGGTGGTAGGCAATCTATACCAATACAACATCGAATCTCACGACGCTGCATGAGCTAGACACATAGAATGCTAAACGTATTCCCATCTACTTTACTATGGAATATACAACATAGCCTTAATTGAGCAAAGTCTTCAAACCATGTTAAACATATCAGGATGTTGACTAGGCCACAAATTGCGCTTCTTGGAGCATCTGCACAGTATGTTGAACATTATACCACCCCATGATTGGTTGCTTAAAGACTGAGCAGATTGTTTGCCACACACAAGGGTATAAATATCCTGCTTTCTCCATAGGTTAAATAACAATGATTCTTCTTTCTCTTCCCCTCCTTCGCTAGAAGCCATAAAAAGAGTATTTCCGAGCCTCCAGCCCGGACACAAAAACTACGGGTCGGCTAGACAGGCTGTCAGTGGATTCTTGGTGAATAATTACATGGTTTGCGCTAGTATTAACGATATAAAGGGTAGAGAATTATGAGATAGGATAAGAGAATGGATCAAAGAGTGTTGCTGGTTCATCCTATCACCGGTCTAGAGCTTGCGCTTGACACTATAATCATGTTAGTTATCATAAGTAGACATGGCTCAGGAGAAACATACCATCAACCAATATACCCCCTTTCTGCGCAACAATTCATGATGCGTTCCGGACTCAAGAATCCTCGATCCTTGCCCTGTGGAACCTTCTCCGAAAACAAAAATTGCATCGGCTTTCTGAATGGTTGCTAGTCTGTGCGCGACCGCAATAATAGTCATGTCTCGCTTGCTTGCTAATCTCTCCATGGCACCTTGTACAAGGCTTTCCGACTGAGAGTCCAAACTAGATGTAGCCTCGTCAAGAAGGAGAAGGCGCGGTTTTCGGATCAGGGCTCGCGCAATGCAAATACGCTGTTTTTGCCCACCACTCATCGAGGTCTGAGCATTAATGCCAAGTTCCGTCAAGAACCCATCCGGAAGAGAGACTATGAAGTCATAAATTTCGGCATCCTTGCATGCTTGGATCATTTGGTCCTCGGTGTTCGGATTATTGGGAGCTTCCAGACCGAGAAGGAGATTTTCGCGAATGGTGCCCTCGAAGAGTTTTGGCTCCTGCGAGACGAGAGACAAAGCACTTCTGTAAGAGGACATTTCAATCGAACGAATGTCTCGGCCACCGAATAGAATGGTTCCCTGGTTGCAGTCATAGAAGCGCTCGAGCAGCGAGACAAGGGTAGACTTTCCGCAGCCTGAAGGTCCGACAAATGCTACGAATTGACCACTCTCAATGGAGAGATCCAGGTTCGTAAATGTAGGCACCTCGCGAGAAGAATATTTGAAAGAGACATTTTTAAGTTCAACAGAGGAACTGGAATTGTCCTCCGAAGAGAGCGGCCCCGTCGGAATATGCTGAATCTGTCCCGTGTCAGGTAGCCGTGCAGCCAATATGCGATTGGCAGAAGCCTTAGCCTGGGCAATATTTGGACCAAAACTGAAGAACTGCCCAGCAGATTGGCCGCCTTGGATAATGGCAATGTAGACCACGAAAAATGCAACTGGGTCATATTCGCGGGACGCAAGGAGCTGGCCACCGTACCAGAAGGCGAGCGCCATAGCGCATAGCTCAACACTATCGGAAAACGCAAATACTAGCGTTGCATACCACGCCTTCCGGATAGCCTTTTGGCGCTGATCTCTTAGCAGCTTTGAATATCTGTCCAAAATTGTATCTTCCATGGTCAGAGCAGTGACCGTTCTGAAGGCCCCGACCGCCTCCGTTGCGAATTTGGAGCTATCGGCATAAACTGCAGCATTTAGGCTCTCGAATTTGATCTCATATCGAATACGCATGAAGGCTGAGAAAAAGATGAATGGCATGGCGGCAAAAAAGGTGACGGCTGCCAGCTTCCATCCAAAGGCGAAGGAGATTGACACACATCCCAGGATGTTGAAGATCGAAATGAGAGGAAAAACACCAGTTGGACCAAACATCTCCTGCAACTGTTTTGAATCAGTGGATAGTCTGGAAACCAGACTGCCCGAGGAATTCCCCTCGCGGTCATAGTACGACACCGGTTTGGACAAGAAGCTGTGGAAATAATCCATTCGAGCAGTGGACACAACGAACTGAATATTTAGCCTTGTTCAAGTCTGTGAAATCATATAGACTTACCATTGATATCGAATTTGACGAAAATCCTAGCATAAAATAGAAGGCCGCCATGGCAAGGGCGAGGATGAAAAACATCAATGCCCAGAAGTTCGCAGCATCCACAAGCTTCTGGCCAGTGAACTGGAAAACCTGCACCAGTTTGGCAAAAAGCCAACTTTGTAGGGAAAATCCCGCTATTAAACTCTGTAAGCTTATATCTGGAAAGTTGCGGGAGAGTATGGTGCATCCTTACAACCTGCCCCTACAGCCCCGATCAGCGTCAATGCATATAAAACCCAATGGCTACGGTTTTCATAGAGGAGCATCCCAAAGCTGCGGAAAAAGCCGAATTGTTTCACAGGTTCGGAGCTATCCTGGAAATCTTGATCGCTGCCTTCTTTGTCGGTGTAATCTTCATGTTTGACTTCTTCTTTCCGCGGAGAAATTGAACCCGGCAAGTCGTCTTCCATCATATCTGTCAGTGGTTCCAGCCGCTGCGCATGAACCAAGCTATGGTATATCCCTTCCTTGAGTATCAGCTCTTGGTGAGAACCTTCTTCGATATCTTTGCCGTCTTTCATGACGACGATCTTGTCCGCGCGGCGGACGGTGGACAAGCGATGAGCGATCATAATTGTAGTTCGATCTTTGGACACACGATCGAGGGCTGCTTGTACAATCTTTTCGCCTTGTACATCGATCGAGCTGGTCGCTTCATCAAGAATGAGAATCTGTGGTTGGCTGACGATGCTTCGTGCGATGGCAATTCTTTGGCGCTGTCCGCCACTCAATGTGATTCCACCTTCCCCGACAGTAGTGGAGTAACCCTATAGATGAGATAATCAGATAAATATAAATAATTAAAAGTGCAGCGGAAAAGGTGTAACAATACCTTGGGAAGGCGATCGATAAATTCATCTGCAAAGGCTTGCTTGCAAGCTTCAGCGATGAGTTCCATCTTCACAGAATCCGTATCATTCTCCCACTGTGATCCGATCAGACCAAAAGCAACGTTATTGTATATTGAATCATTGAACAAGAACGGCTCCTGCTGAACAAGTCCAATCTGTGATCGCCACCACTTCACATCCAAGTCATTGATGTTTTGAGGTCCCACACGGATTTGACCCGACGTGGACTTTTCTTCTTCCTCGGACTGAACTTGCTCGGACTGAACTTGCTCGGACTGAACTTGCTCTGGCTGAACTTGCTCCGGCTGAACTTGCTCCGACTGAACTTGCTCAGGTTGAATTTGCTCGGACTGAATTTCATACCATCGCTCAATCAAACCGACAATAGTACTTTTCCCCGAACCGGAGGATCCAACCAGAGCTGTGGTTTTATTTCGCTCAAATCGTGCATTGAATCCCTTAAGCACAGTCATTTCTTTTCGGGTGGGATAAGCAAATGTCACGTTCTCAAACACGATATCAGCACGAGCTAACTCTGGATCTCGAATTCCAGCTATATTATCCTGCTTTGAATCGATAACACCGAAAAAGGCACCTGATGCACCTATGGCTTTCGTGATAGCCATTATTGGCCCCGCAATGCCTCCCAAAACAGTGACCACGAGGAGCACCGAAAAGAATACCCTAGCTGATTGTTAGGACACGGTATCACAATTATTCAGAAGATGGGATAATCATACGTGATCACAGTGTTAATATTAGCAATGTGGCCTTCGCGGTACAGCTTCAAGCCAAACCAAAAGGCTAGGGCGAAGCTGACATACATGGCAAAAAAGAGCATTCCAAGGTGAATACCACTGACCAAGGACATACCCAGGCCACGTTTTCGCGATTCTTCGACCCACCGTGTGTACTTCTTGGAGAGTGGTTGCTCAGCACCCAGGGCGAGTACTGTCCGAATAGAGCCAAATACTTCTGAGGCCAGTCCTGCATGCTTCTCATCTGCTTGGTCCACAGTCTGCTGCGTCTTCACCAAAAACGGCGTTGTCAGGCTGAAGCCAACGATCACAAATAGAATGGCTGCACTGACAACAAGCGTCAGTGCCCAGGAATAACGGAATGCGATTGCGTAAGCCGCAATTAACAAGGCGAGTGACTGGAACAGAATGGCGAGTCGATCAGAAACACTTTGCTGGATCGTATTTGATAGCGCGGTAATCGCGTGTGTGACAGTTCCGACTGACATCTCGTCCAGCTTGCTCACGGGGAGTGAAAACAGAGCCTGGGTGTACTCCAGGCGCAAGGCTCCTGAGGCTCGGAGGCTGATCAAT